CGGATTGTCCACCCCAAAACCCCCGCGGCTCCCTCTGCGCCGTGCCCCGGCCTGGTGTCACCTCCTGCTGCCACCCCCTCCCCTGGCACTGCCACCAGATCACCCTCAGCTCGCTCTGCCGCGTCCTCCAAAGGGCTGAACCTGTTTTTATGGCAGAGCTGGCACCGGGAAAGGCTGAAAAAAAAAAATAAAATAAAAACCCCAAAAAAGCCTCCCCTGATCTCTGTATCTGCAGCCATGCAAGGAATATTGTTCAGCGCAGCACAAAAGCATCCCTGAAAATAGAAGCGCCAGGGCCAGGCCTGCCAGTGGCTGTGTGAGATAACGTCTACTCGCAAACAGTGTGTCTTTGTGCCGCTGTCACTGTCCCCATTGTTCGGGAGCCTATTGCCTCGGGGATATTGTTCCCTCCTTTTGTCTCAGCCCGGCTCCTTTTTGTTTGACTTTACTTTACCATTTCATTCCTCTCCTTTGTGCCGCCGTTCTTGCTTTTGTCTCCCTCTCTCTCCCTCTCTCTCTCTCTCTGCCTTTTCTCTCGCTGATTTGTATTTAGCGATTGTTCCCGGCTCGCTGCGAGCACAAAGTGCTCCGGGCTCTTTTCTCACTCCATTCATTCCCTATTCAGGTGCGTTTGTTTGCCCGTAGGTACCGGCAGGAGCGGATTTGGGGGTGGATTTGGGGTTTTAGGGGGTCCTGGAAGCCGGCAAAGGGAGCTGGAGGCTGCTGGTGGCCTTTGGGGACAACCAGGTCCCCGTGTGCCCCATCCCCGTGCCAAAAAGAGCAGGGATTTGTCGGGAAAAGGGCAAATGAGCCCCCAGGTGGAGCGGCCGGGGATGGGGCAGGGACACGGGGGTGGCACCGCTGAGGTGACCGTGCCCGGTGCCAGCTGGGCCGATCCCAGAGCGGATCCGAGCCCAGCCCAGCAATCCCGACCCTGAACTGGCGGTGCCGGCTCCCCCAGCCCTGGATCTGCACCACGCCCGGGTTTTGGGAGGCCCTGGAGGCACACGGAGAACATTCCACGGCCTCTCCCCTGCTCTGCGCCGCGGCTGTGCCCACCCGGAGCGACCCTCGGGCTGGCACCACCCACCCCCGCTGCCACCCCGAGCTGGGATTCACCCTGCGGACCACAGGGACAGCGGGTGGATCCATGGAGGTGGCTTGGGGACATTTGGGGGGCGGCTCAGAGGCTCCCGGGATGCCCAAAACCCCGCAGGATTGGGGGGCACCCCCTGCCCCCCACGCCCTGCCGGCTGCAGGGAGGGCTCGTTCCCAGCGCCACGAGGAGGAGGAGGAGGAGGAGGAGGAGGAGGAGGAGGAGGAGGAGGAGGAGGGTTCGGATTCCCCAGGAACCCTTCAGGGACAGCTGACAAGAGTGGCCACCCCCGGAGACAACAAAGCCCCGCTGTTCTCCGGGCACGGCCCGCGTGACCCGACGGGACTTTTCCATCCCCTCCCCGCCAGCGAAACCCCGGAGGATCCAAGGGAAAAAACCTTCCTCCTCCTCCTCCTCCTCCTGCTTCACACAGCCCACGCGAAGCGGGAGAGGCCGCGGGGACCCCCCCAGACTCACCCCGGGAGCGAGGGACGGAGCGGGACGAGGGGACGGCGAGCGGCGGCTCCGCGGGGCCAGCGGGAGCCCCCGGGGCCGCGGGGGGGGCGTGCCCGGGAATGGAGGGAGCGGACTGAGGGCCATTGTCTCATTGTTCGGGCTTCAAAGGACAATGGGCCATTGTTGTCCCCGGGGATGCCATTGTTTGCTTTCCCTGCAGAGCCCGGCCGCGCACGGAGCTTTCCCGAGGGCCGGCTCCGTGTGTGGGACGCTCCAGAACAACGAGGCAGGAATGTCGCTTTCCTTCCCCACGCCCTGGTTTTTGGTTTTTGGGGGTTTTTGATTTCTTTTTTTTTTTTTTTTTTGCACGGTTGTGCCATCCTGAAAAAAGGCACGGCCAGAGGGGATGGGACCACCCAGAGACCCCCTGGATCCCGCAGGGATGGGCTGGGAGCGGGGGGTTCATCCTCCATCCCCCCATCCCTGCACATTCCAGGGTGAGGGCACAAAATCCAGGCGGGTTGAAGCCGCTTCAGCAGCATCCCCCCGGCAATATCCCGGATTTCCATCCCGTGGATGCCCCAAATCTGACCCGGCACGGCGGCGTTTGGCTCCTGCAGTGCCCAGGAAGGGACGGCCCGGCCCGGAGCGCTCCCGGAGCGGATTCCCGGGGCTGATCCCGCTGGGAAATTCCACTGAGGGGTCGAGGAAAGGCTGGGGGAAGGGGAAGGAACAGAATTCCAGGAGGAGGGAAACGAGCAGGGAAACGCGCAGGGGAAAGGGGAAAGAGCAGAATTCCAGGAGCAGGGAAAGGAACAGAATTCCAGGAGTGGGGAAAGGAGCAGGGGAAAGAGCAGAATTCTAGGAGTAGGGAAAGAGCAGAATTCCAGGAGCAGGGGAAGGAGCAGAAATTCAGGAGCAGGGAAAGAGCAGAATTCTAGGAGTAGGGATAGAGCAGAATTCCAGGAGCAGGGGAAGGAGCAGAAATTCAGGAGCAGATTTCCAGCCCCTCCGCAGCCCGAGGCGGGTCGGGGGATGGATGGAGCGGGAAAGGGACTCGCTGTGCTCAGAGACACCCTCGCTGCTGCTCCTGCGAAAGGCAGGAGGAACTGCGGCCGGGAGCCCGGGATGAGCCCCGGGACAAACCCCGGGATGAGCTCCGGGATGAGACCCGGGAAGCCCCGGGGGCGCTCCGGGCTGTCACCGGGGGAGAAGGGGACGCCGCCCCTGCAGGATCAGCCTGGCCGCGGTTCCTCCCCTCCCCAGGGCTGCGACCACCCTCGGGATGAAGCCTTGGAGCGACCCCAGCCCGGCTGGAAGAGCCCCCGAATCCCCCCCGAGCCCCCCGAGCGCAGCCCCGGGGCTGAGGAGCCCCCCAAGCTCGGGCTCAGCCCCTGCAGAGCTTTGTCCCTATGTGTCCCTGGGGGTCACCCGGCCACCCTGGGGGGTTCCTGGGTCTCTGTCCCCTCCAGCCGCCAGCCCGGGGAGGTGACAATGGCTGGGGACACGGAGAGGTGACACAAATGAGGATGTGGCAGTGGCTGCGGAAAAGGGGAACCGGCAATGGCTGGGGACACGAGAAGGTGGCAAGGGCTGGGGACACAGAGAGGGGACACTAATGGGAAGGTGGCAGTGGATGGGGACACGGGGAGGTGGCAGTGGTTGGGCACAGGGGGAGGTAGCAGTGGCTGGGGACAGGCAGAGGTGACACAAACCCGGGGTGCTGGCAGTGGTTGGGGACAGGCAGAGGTGACACAAACCCGGGGTGCTGGCAGTGACTGGGGACAGGCAGAGGTGACACAAACCAGGTCCTTTACAAGTCCCCAGAAGTGATTTGCACACCTGCGGGGTGACACGCCCACCCTCAGTGCCCCCAATTTCCTCTCCCACCTCTGCTCTGCCCTTATCTCACCCCCCTTATCTCACCAGCCCTGCTGATAAGGGCTCGGGGCTGATGGGGCCCCCAAACGGAATTTTGGGGCCAGCTGTCCCCAAACCCCTCTGAGGGGCCCCGCTGCCGTCACTGTCCCCAAATCGGGGCTCCCTCCCTCCCTCCCTCCTGCAGGGCCCCGAGCGGCTCCGGGCTCTGGGGGTGACAAAAAGGGGTCGGGAAAGGAGGAGCCCCCAGAAATCCCAGACCTGCTCCTCGTCCTCCTCCTCATCCCGGGAATTCCGGCCGGGATTCGGGTCGGGGAGAGCCGGGAGTGGGATCGGGAATTTCGGCCGGGAGTGGGGTCGGGAATTCCAGCCAGGATCGGGAATTCCGGCCGGGATTGGGATCGGGAATTCCAGCCAGGATCGGGAATTCCGGCCGGGATTGGGGTCAGGGAGAGCTGAGCCGGGATTGGGGTTGGGGAATTCTGGCCGGGATTGGGATCAGAAATCCCAGCCGGGATTGGGGTCAGGGAATTCCGGCCGGGATCGGGGGATTGGGATCGGGAATTCCGGCCGGGATTGGGGTCAGGGAGAGCTGAGCCGGGATTGGGATCGGGAATTCCGGCCGGGATCGGGGGATTGGGATCGGGAATTCCGGCCGGGATTGGGGTCAGGGAGAGCTGAGCCGGGATTGGGATCGGGAATTCCGGCCGGGATCGGGGGATTGGGATCGGGAATTCCGGCTGGGATCGGGATCGGGCAGAGCCGAGCCCGCAGCTCCCCCTTCTGTCCGGAGCCCTCAGGAAGATTTTTCCCGTTCTGGCAGAAATTTGGGTCGCTCCCGTCAGAATTCCCACAGAATTCCCATGGAATTCCCGAGGCTTAGAACTAAAATATCCCAGGAGCTGCCCCTGAGTAAGGCAAAGCCTTAGGGGGAGGATGGGAAGGGATTTCTTGAGAAATGGGATTAAAAAAATCAAAATTTGGGGGCAAAAAGGATTCTTTTTAGAATATAGAGGTTAGTTATTGGGGAAAAGGAATTGGTTTGGGAAAAGGAATTCTATGGGCTAAAGAGATTTGTTTTGTGGACAAAAAGAAAATTGTTTTGGGGAATAAGGGATTTTTTTGTGGGGAAGAAGGGACCAGGTTGAGGAAAAAGGGATTTAGTTTGGGAAGAAGGGATTTGGTTTGGGATAAAGGGATTTTTTGGGAAAAGGGATTTGTCTGGGGAAAGTAAGGATTATTTTTGGGAAGAAAGGATGACTTTCAGGAAGATGGGAATGATTTGGCAAAGAAAGGATGACTTTCAGGATAATGGGATTGATCTGGGGAAGATGTGATTGGTTTTGGGATCAAGGGCTTGGTCTGGGAAAACCTGAACCCCCACATCCAACCCCACAGGGAAAACCCCTTAGAAATCATTTCCCCCACCCCGAGACTGAAACCCCACTCCCAGACTTTGTTACAAAACCCCATTTTATTCCCCAAAGAAAAGCCCCAACTACAAAACACGGTTCCCGGAGGAGCTGTGGGGTTTCCCCCGTGGCTCATCCCGTTTTTTCAGAGTTCCCAATCCCATTCCCAGCTGCAGCCCCTAACTGGAGACGCTCTGCAGGAGGGTGATGTTGTCTCCCTTCAGCATGATCCGACCTGCAACCCAACGGCAGCGGGATTGGGGGGAGCTTTGGGGTGAGAGCGCCCCAAACCCGCCCAGAACCACAGCTGGAGCCCAGAACCACAGCTGGAGCCCAGAACCACAGCTGGATTCCAATCCTACAGCTGGAGCCCGGCACCACAGCTGGAGCCTGGAACCACAGCTGGAGTCCAGTCCCAAAGATGGATCCCAACCCCAAAACCTGGATCCCAATCCCACATCTGAAGCCAAATCCCTGGATCCCAGCCCCACAGCTGGAGGCCAATCCCAGAAGCTGGATTCTGGCCCCAAACCTGGATCCCAGTCCCACAGCTGGATCCCAGCCCCAAAACCTCGATGCCAACCCCAAAACCTGGATCCCAATCCCATATCTGGATCCCAATCCTACAGCTGGAGCCCAATCCCACACCTGTGTCCCAATCCCAAAGCCTGGCTTCCAATCCCACAGCTTGAGCCCAATCCCAAAACCTGGATCCCAACCCCAAAACCTGGAGCCTGGCTCCAAAACCTGGATCCCAATCCCACAGCTGAAGCCCAGCCCCAAAACCTGGATCCCAGCCCCACAGCTGGCCCTGCAGCTGGATCCAGTCCCAAAACCTGAATTCTAGTCCTACAGTTGGATTCCAGTCCCAAAACCTGGAGCCCAATCCCACAGCTAGAGCCCGGCCCCAAAACCTGGATCCCAGCCCCACAGCTAGAGCCCAATCCCAAAGCCTAGATCACAACTCCACAGCTGGATGCCAACCCCAAAATCCGAATTCCAATCCCACAGCCAGATCCTAGCCCCAAAGCCTGGATCCCAACCCCAAAACCTGAATTCCAAACCCACAGCTGGAGCCCAACCCCACAGCTGGATCCCAGCTCCACAGGTGGATCCCAATCCCAAAGCCTGGACAAAGCCTGGAGCCCATCCCACAGCTGGCGTCCAGCCCCACTGCTGGATTCCAACCCCAAAACCTGAATTCCAAACCCACACCTGGTTCCCAATCCCAAAGCTTGGATCCCAGCCCCACAGCTGGAGGCCAATCCCAAAACCTGGATCCTGGCCCCAAAACCTGGATCCCAATCCCACACCTGGATCCCAGTCCCACACCTAGATCCCAATCCCAAAACCTGGATCCCAACCCCAAAACCTGAATTCCAAACCCACAGCTGGAGCCCAGCCCTAAAACCTGTATTCCTGTCCTACAGCTGGAGCCCAATCCCACAGCTGGAGCCCAATCCCACAGCTGGACCTTGGCCCCAAAACCCAGATTCCAGCCCCAAAACCTGGATCCCAATCCCACAGCTGGAGCTGGGTCCCACAGCTGGAACCTGGCCCTAAAACCTGAATTCCTGTCTCACAGCTGGATCCCAACCCCAAAACCTGGAGCCTGGCCCCAAAATCTGGATCCCATTCCCACAGCTGGAGCCCAATCCCAAAACCTGGAACCCAGTTCCACAGCTGGATCCTGGCTCCAAAACCCAGATTCCAACCCTAAAATCTGGATCCCAATCCCACAGCTGGAGCCCAATCCCACAGCTGGACCTTGGCCCCTAAACCTGGATCCCAACCCCAAAACCTGGATTTCAGCCCCAAAACCTGGATCCCAATCCCACATCTGGATTCCAATCCCACAGCTGGAGCCCAATCCCAAAACCTGGATCCCAGCCCCACAGCTGGAGGTCAATCCCAACACCTGGATCTCAATCCCAAAACCTGAATTCCAAACCCACAGCTGGATCCCGGTCCCACAGTTGGAGCCCAATCCCAAAACCTGGATCCCAATTCCACAGCTGGATCCCAGCCCCAAAACCTGGAGCCTGGCCCCAAAATCTGGACCCCAATCCCACAGCTGGACCTTGGCCCCTAAACCTGGATCCCAGCCCCAAAACCGGGATTTCAGCCCCAAAATCTGGACCCCAATCCCACAGCTGGAGCCTCGCCCCAAAACCTGGATTTTATCCCCAAAACCTGGATCCCAATCCCAAAGCCTGGATTTAAGGTCCCACATCCAGGTTCCAGGATCCCAAACCCGAATTCCAGGTCCCACAGCTCCATTTCACACCCCACACCTGACATTTAAGATGCCACCCCCAAATCCCCCATCCCACCCCCCAGTTCCAGCCTTCCCCTCCCCCCTGCCCTACCCAGCTGCTTCCTGGATTTGGTTTTGGAGTGAATTTCCTCAGCATCGTCCAGCACCAGGTTCATGTACTCATCAAAGCCCTGCAGGAGCAGCAGCCTCAGTGAAACCCCAAAAAAAACCCCCCCAAAAAAACCCCAAATCACCCCTCAAAAAACAAAAAAATAAACCAAAACACCTCCAAAACAAAAAAACTCCAAATAACCCAATAAACCCACCCAAAAAACCTGAAAAAAAAACAAACGCCCCCCCAAAAAAACCTAAAATAAAAAAAAAAAACAAAAAACCTCCAAAAATTAAAAAAAACCCCAAACCCAAAAAACCCCAAAAAATAAATCAAAGCCACCCCAAAACCTCAAAAAACACCAAATAACCCGATAAACCTATCCCAAACAGAAAAAAAAACCTGAAAAAAAACCCCAAAAATAAAAAAACCCAAAAAACTCCAAAAAAACAAAAACCCCAACCCCCAAAAAAATCCCCTCAAAAAACCCAAAAAATTTCCAAAAAACCCCAAAACACCCTAAAAAACCAAAAAACCCCAAACGCCAAAAAACCCCCAAACCAAACCAAAAACCTACAAAAAAAACCCCTTCAACCCCCCCAAAAAAACCAAATACAAAACAAAACAAAACTCAAAAAAACTTAAAAAGAAAACCCTCAAAACCCCCAACAAACTCCAACCTCCCCGCAAAAAAAAAAAAAAAAAAAAAACACCTAAAAAATTTAAAAAAACCCAACAAAAAACCAAAATAAACCCCAAAATCCCCAAACCCTGGAGAAGAAGAAGACAGAAATGGGTTTAGGGTTGGGGAGAAGGCAGAGGGGTGACCCCAGAGCAGGGGAGGGGGTTTGGGGTGACCCCAGAGCAGGGGGGTGACAAGGGGACAGTGGCACTCACGATGATGCAGCCCTCGATCCTCATGTTCACCTGCTCGTAGAGCCACACCTGGATCCTGGATCTCTGCAAGGCACCAAAATCACCTCTGGGGGGCCCTGGGGGGGTTCAGGGTCCATCCCCACCCCAAAATCAGGGGGTCCCCTGGGAATGTCCCATGGGATGGCAGGGGAGGAGCAGCAGGGGCTGCTCTGGTGTTTGGGTGGATTAAGTGGAAAAAAATGGGGTTTAAATTGGGTTTAAATAGGGTTAAAATGGGGTTTAATTGGGTTTAAAATGGGGTTTAATTGGGTTTAAAGGGGGTTAAAATGGGGTTAAAATGGGGTTAAAATGGGGTTTAATTGGGTTTAAAATGGGGTTTAAATGGGGTTAAAATGGGGTTTAAATAGGGTTAAAATGGGGTTTAATTGGGTTTAAAGGGGGTTAAAATGGGGTTTAAATGGAGTTTAAATGAGGTTAAAATGGGGTTAAAATGGGGTTTAAAATGGGGTTTAAAATGGGGTTTAATTGGGTTTAAAGGGGGTTCAAATTGGTTTAAATGGGTTAAAATAGGGTTTAAATTGAAAGAAATAGGGTTTAAACGGTGTTCAAATGGGATTTTGGGAAGGAGTTGTTCTCTAGGAGGGGTTGGGATGGAATTCCCACAGGAGCTGTGGCTGCTCCACCCCTGGGGGATAAAATGGATGAAATTCATAAAATGGATAAAAAATATAAAACGGGTAAAATGCTTAAAATAGGGTTTAAATTGAAAGAAATAGGATTTAAATGGGATTTTGGGAAGGAGTTGTTCTCTAGGAAGGGCTGGGATGGAATTCCCAGAGATGCTGTGGCTGCTCCATCCCTGGGGGTGTCCCAGGCTGGGTTGGACAGGGGATAAAATGGATAAAAAATAGAAAATGGGTAAAATGTTTAAAAAGCATAAAATAGGGTTTAAATTGAAAGAAATAGGGTTTAAACGGTGTTTAAATGGGATTTTGGGAAGGAATTGTTCTCTAGGAGGGGCTGGGATGGAATTCCCAGAGGAGCTGTGGCTGCTCCATCCCTGGGGGTGTCCAAGGCTGGGTTGGACAGGGGATAAAATTCATAAAATGGATAAAAAAAATAGAAAATGGGTAAAATGTTTCAAAAGCATAAAATGGCACCCTTGGATAGTGGATGGTTTCCCTGCCCATGGCAGGGCTGGCAATGGGCTGATCCTTAGGATCTTCCAACCCAACCCATTCCATTAAAAAATCCCAATTTCAGGACTCCAGACTCATTCCCAGCCTGCAAATTCCCACAGAATCCGTGGCTGTCCCTGGACCCCTGGGTGTCCCAGGCTGGGACTGGGATGATCCTTAGCATCTTCCAACCCCAGCCATTCCATAATTCCATAAAAAATCCCAATTTCAGGACTCCAGACTCATTCCCAGCCTGCAAATTCCCACAGAATCTGTGGCTGCCCCATCCCTGGAGTGTCCCAGGCTGGGCTGGAGCAACCTGGGGTAGGGGAAGGTCCTGCCCATGGCAGGGCTGGGACTGGGATGATCCATAGGACCTTCCAACCCAAACCATTCCATAATTCCATAAAAAATCCCAGTTTAGGATTCCAGAGTCATTCCCAGCCTGCAAATTCCCACACAATCCCCATCCCTGCCATGTCCCAGGCCGGGCTGGGGCAGCCTGGGGTAGGGGAAGGTCCTGCCCATAGCAGGGCTGGGACTGGGATGATCCATAGGACCTTCCAACCCAAACCATTCCATAATTCCATAAAAAAAATCCCAGTTTAGGATTCCAGAGTCATTCCCAGCCTGCAAATTCCCACAGAATCCCCATCCCTGGGTGTCCCAGGAGCAGCCTGGCACAGGGGACGGTGTCGCTGCCATGGCAGGGCTGGCACCGGGTGGCATTCGGGGTCCCTCCCCGCGGTGATGCACTCACGTTCTGCAGGTAGCGGAAGATCAGGTTCTGGAGCCGAGCGTTAAGGGCAGAGCACAGCACAGCCGGGAGCCCCGGGCACCCCTGAGGGGACTCCGCCATGGAACCCGCCCGCCCCGCTCCCTTCCCGCCCGCGCTCCCCGCAGCCTCCCCGCGCTCCCCCGGGGCCCTGAGCGCTGGCGGCAGGATACGATGGGCTGCACCATCACCTTCTGCACCTTCTGGCCCTGCCCGCGGTACGCCATGGCTGCGCGGGGCCGCGGGGCGCTGGGGCAGAGCGGCGGCGTGAGGGGAATGGAGGAGCGCGGGGCACTGTGGGATAGCGGCGGAACAGGATGGGGAGGGGACACGGGGCAGTGTGGGATAGCGGCGGAACAGGATGGGGACACGGGGCACTGTGGGATAGTGGCGGAACAGGATGGAGAACACGGGGCACTGTGGGATAGTGGCGGAACAGGAACGGCACCGTGAGGGGCGCTGTGGGCTGGTGGCGGTGTGAGGGGATGGAGGAGCGCGGGGCACTGTGGGATAGTGGCGGAACAGGATGGAGAACACGGGGCACTGTGGGATAGTGGCGGAACAGGATGGAGACACGGGGCACTGTGGGATAGTGGAGGAACAGGAACGGCACCGTGAGGGGCGCTGTAGGATGGTGGCGGTGTGAGGGAATAATGGCGGTGTGAGAGGATGGAGGAACGCGGGGCACTGTGGGATAGTGGCGGTGTGAGGGAATAATGGCGGTGTGAGGGGATGGCACCGCGGGGCACTGTGGGATACTGGCGGTGTGAGGGGATGGAGGAACGCGGGGCACTGTGGGATAGTGGCGCTGTGAGGGCGGCCTTTTTTAAAACTTTAATCATTATTTTTAGATTTTTTTTTCTCTTAGTCGGTGTTTTCTTGCTAGTATTACGGGTTTTTATGCCATTATTTTATTTGGGTTTAATAACCACAATTCATCGAAAAAAAATCCCTAAAAATGTTCCCTTCGCTACGTCCTAAAATACCCAACTTTAAAATAAAGTGATTTATGTACTCTTAAAGCACCGGAACTTTCCTGTTCATTTGTCCCTCAAAAAAGAAGCCAAAAAAAATCCCTGAAACATCTCCCATGCCCCCATTCCCTCTCCTCCTGTCCCTGTTCCCTGGGATAAGATCCCAAATCCCCCCCGGCTGTGCCCTCCTGGCAGGAGTTGTGCAGAGCCAGAAATTCCCCCTGAGCCTCCTTTGCTCCAGGCTGAGCCCCTTCCCAGCTCCCTCAGGACTCTCCAAACCCTTCCCAGCTCCCCCAAGATTCTCTCCAAACCCTTCCCAGCTCCCTCAGACCCTTCCTATTTCCCTCAAGATTTTTTCAAACCATTTCCTGGTCCCCTCAGCTCTGCCAAACCTTTCCCAGGTCCCTCAGGACTCTCCAAACCCTTTCCAGATTTCTCTAGACCCTTCCCAGCTCCCTCAGGATTCTCCAAACCCTTCCCAGCTCCCTCAGGATTCTCTCCAAACCCTTCCCAGCTCCCTCAAGATTCTTCCAAACTTTTCCCCATCTCCCTCAGGATTCTCTCCAAACCTTTCCCTGGTTCCTTCAGGACTCTCCAAACCCTTCCCTGCTCCCTCAGGATTCTCCAAACCCTTCCCAGATTTCTCCAAACCCTTCCCAGCTCCCTCAGGATTCTCTCCAAACCCTTCCCAGCTCCCTCAAGATTCTTCCAAACCTTTCCCCATCTCAGGATTCTCCAAACCCTTTCCAGATTTCTCCAAACCCTTCCCAATTCCCTCAGACTCTTCCCATCTCCCTCAGGATGTTTCCAAACCTTTCCCTGTTCCCTCAGGACTCTCCAAACCTTTCCTTGGTACCCTCAACTCCTCCAAACCCTTCCCAAGCTCCCTCAAGATTTCTCCAAACCCTTCCCAAGCTCCCTCAGGATATTCCCCCCCCTCATTAATTCCTAATTAACACTCAGCATTCCCAATCTCTTTGACGCCATTCTTTAAAAAACCCCACGGACACCACACAGTGAGCAGCCTACCTTTAATCCCTTAAATAGAATCATACAAATATAAAATGGAAGAATAAAATATTTACAGAAAAACAAAAAATAAATTGAAAAAAAAAAAAAAAACAAAAAAACAAAAACCCCACGGGGATTTCACTCAATCCCATCTCCAAAGGGCTGGAAAAGAGGGAAGCAGCCGAGGGGCTGCTTTTTCTTTTTTCAGGTGCTTATTCCAGGTGCTTTTTCTTTTTTCCCTCCCAAAATGATCCCAGCTGGATGTGGGAAGTTCATTGCAGGGAGAAATCCTCAGAACCCAGAGGCACTTGAAGCAATGTTCCTTTTCCCAAATCCCAGGAGGAATTTTTGCTTTCCCCCATGGAAAAAATCCCACAAGCCAGGCTCACCCTGGCAGGCTTTGGTCCAAAATCCTGCTCAGATTTTGCCTCTTTTTCCCTGAATTCCCCCCAAATGCGAGTCCATCCGTGGCTCCCAGAGTTGACACAGTAACTCCAGGGATTTTTTTGGGATTTTCTGTCCAGGAGGGAGCTCTGGAGATGGGATCTGTGGCCCCTCAGGGCGTTCCAAGTGCTCTGTCCTGTCCCATGGGGGGACAACCTCAGCCCGGAATTTTGGGATAACAGAGAGCAGACTCTGCCTAATCCTAACAATCCAACTGTGCTTCCAGCTGGGGCAGGGTCTCCTCCACAGATCCAACAACATTTACAGGATTTTTGTGGGAGGTGAGGAGAAAATTCTGCTTTTTCAGGGTGGGTTTTTTTTTTGGTGTCGCGTCTTTTTTCCCCGTTTTTTTTTTTCCAACAAAACCTCCCCTCTCAGCTGTCAATCATCTCCGACAGTTCCAGCAGGAGATCATCCTCATCCTTGCCTGGATCCAGGTCGATTTCTGCCTCCAGTTTTCCCCCAGAGATTTCCCAGATGAGTTTCTCAAAGTCGTCCTCCACCGACAGCGCGGCCTTGGCGCCGCCGGCCGAGCTCAGGCGCCGCAGCTTCAGGGGAGCCTCCAGCGAGGAGGAGGAGGAGGAGGAGGAAGATGTGGATGAGGAGGATGAGGAGGAAGATCCAGACACCTCTGACTGTGCCAGGGAATCGCCCTGGGTGCCAGGCTGCAGCTCAGGGCTGGGGAGAGCAGAAGGGAGGAGTCAGTGTGGGGGAACTGAGGGGGAGACTGAGGATTGCGGTTTGCAGGGGGAGGGGATTGGGGAGGGCTGGGATGGGATTTGGGGAGTCCTGGATTGGGTTTGGGGAATCCAGGACCAGTTTGGGCAGTCCTGGATTGGGTTTGGGGAGGCTGGGGTTGAGTTTGGGGAGTCCAGGACCAGTTTGGGGAGTCCTGGATTTGGTTTGGGGAGTCCAGGACCAGTTTGGGCAGTCCTGGATTGAGTTTGGGGAGTCCTGGATTGGGTTTGGGGAGCCCTAGACTGGGTTTGGGGGGCTGGGATTGGATTTGGGGAGTCCTGGATTGGGTTTGGGGAATCCAGGAACAGTTTGGGCAGTCCTGGATTGAGTCTGGGGAGTCCTGGATTGGTTTGGGGAGGCTGGGGTTGGGTTTGGGGAGTCCAGGACCAGTTTGGGAAGGCCTGGATTGGGTTTGGGGAGTCCAGGACCAGTTTGGGCAGGCCTGGATTTGGTTTGGGGAACCCTAGACTGGGTTTGGGGGGCTGGGATTGGATTTGGGGAGTCCTGGATGGGATTTGGGGAGTCCTGGATTGGATTTGGGGAGTCCTGGATTGGGTTTGGGGAGTCCAGGACCAGTTTGGGGAGCCCTGGATTTGGTTTGGGGAGCCCCAGACTGGGTTTGGGGGGGCTGGGATTGGATTTGGGGAGTCCAGGACCAGTTTGGGGAGTCCTGGATTTGGTTTGGGGAGTCTTGGATTTGGTTTGGGGAGTTCAGGACCAGCTTGGGGAGTCCTGGATTGGGTTTGGGGGGCTGGGATCAGTTTAGGGAAGTCCTGGATTGGTTTGGGAAGTTCAGGATCAATTTTGGTAGTTCAGGATCAATTTTGGAGTCCTGGATTTGGTTTGGGGAGCCCTGGATTGGTTTGGGGGAGCTGGGGATGGGTTTGGAGAACCCTGGATCAATTCTGGCAATTCGGGATTGGTTTTGGGGGGACTGGGATTGGGTTTGGGGAGTCCTGGATTGGTTTGGGGAATCCAGGACCAGTTTGGGGAGTCCTGGTTTGAGTTTGGGGAGTCCTGGATTGGGTTTGGGAAGTTCAGGATCAATTTTGGCAGTTCAGGATCAATTCTGAGGGGCTGGGATCGGTTTGAAGGGTTGGGGTTGGGTTTGGGGAGTCCTGGATTGATTTGGGAAGCTCAGGATCAATTTTGGCAGTTCAGGATCAATTTTGGAGTCCTGGACTGCTTTTGGGGAGCCCTGGATTTGTTTTAGGGGGATGGGATCAGTTTTGGGAAGTCCTGGATTGGTTTGGGAAGCTCAGGATCAATTTTGGCAGTTCAGGATCAATTCTGGGAGTCCTGGATTGGGTTTGGGGAGCTCAGGATCAATTTTGGCAGTTCAGGATCAGTTCTGGAGTCCTGGATCAGTTCTGGGAAATCCTAGATTGGTTTTGGGGTCCTGGATCAGTTTTGGGGAGTTCTGGATCAATTCTGGGATGTCCACGATTGGTTTGGGGAGTCCAGGATCAGTTTTGGAAAGTCCTGGATTAATTTTGTCAGTTCAGGACCAGTATTGGGAACTCCAGGATCAATTTTGGGGTCCAGGATCAATTCTGACATCCAGGATCAATTTTGGCGAGTCCTGGATCAGTTTTGGGGTGCAGGATCCATTTTGGGGAGTGTCCACACGCAGCATTTGTAGGAACCCCAAAGCACACACATGAATTGCAATTAAAGGTTCCTCTGTAGGATTTTGGCACTGATTTCCCCCAAAGCTGCGATTTCCCCTGGTGCCCACCCCACACCCCATCCCTGGAGGGAAAAGGGAATTTGGGGTTTGGGGTTTGGGGTTACCTGTTCTGGGAATTCTCCCTCCGAGGGTTGGAGCCCAGGCTGTCCTCAGGAGAAGGGGGAACAACCTGGCAATGAGGAGCAGGACAAGTTTTAGGATCTAAAAAAATCCCAAATTTTCCTTTTTCTGCTTCACCTGAAGCAGGGCATTCCCAAAATGAGGAATTTGGGGTTTTATAAAAGGAATTTTTGCCATGCAAAGGAGAAAAATCCTTCCCAAATTCCAAAGCAGGGAATTCTGGGGAACATGACAATTTTTAGGATCTAAAAAATCCCAAATTTTAGGAGATTCTTCCTTTTGTGCTTCACCTGAAGCAGGGCATTCCTGAAATGAGGAAAAATCCCAAATTTTAGGGAATCCTGAAATGCAATTTCTGAAATGAAATTATTCCTGAAATAAAATTTTAGGCATTCCTGAAATTAGAAAAAATCCCAAATTTTAGGAAATTCTTCTTTTTCTGCTTCACCAGAAGCAGGGCAATGCTGAAATGAGGAATTTGGGTTTTTTAAGGAATTTTTGCCTTGGAAAGGACAAAATATTCCCAAATCCCAATAGGGAATTCTGGAGATGCCTCCAAAGCAGGAATGTGCTGCCCCTGAGAGCTGTGGGGTGAAAAGGGCTGGGAGAGCTGGAGAAAATTTCAGTTTTCCAGATTTTTGGGGGGAATTTGGGGGTTTTGGGGGCCTTACCTTGGCTGGGGACCCCTGGGTGTCCCCGCTGGTGGCACTGAGTGGCTTCACTGCCACCACAGCAGGGGGGTGGCCCTCGGGGCCCTTCCTCTTCAGGGGCTGCTTGGGAGGGGCTTTGGCATCCAGAGGCTTCAGGGACACTCTGGACTTGGCTGGGAGGGAGGGAGGGAAAAAATTATCTATGAAACCTCTTCCTTTATCTATCAAACCCCTTCCTTTATCAATCAAATCCATTCCTTTATCAACCCCTTTATCAATCAAACCCCTTTATCAAATCCCTTTATATATTAAATCCCTTTATCAATCAAACCCCTTTATCAATCAAACCCCTTCCTTTATCAATCAAATCCATTCCTTTATCAACCCCTTTATCAATCAAACCCCTTTATAAAATTCCTTTATCTATCAAATCCCTTTATCAACCAAAACCCTTTATCAAACCCCTTTATTTACTAAATCCCTTTATCTATCAAATCCCTTTATCAATCAAACCCCTTATCAAGCCCCCACCTCTGCCCCTCCTCTCGGGCAGCTGAGCTCCCTAAATCCCAACCCCACATGGGGCATTCCCATAAACCCCAACCCCACAAAGAACATCCCAAACCCAATCCCGACCCCACACCATTCCCACAAACCCCAACCCCACACAGACCATCCCACAAACCCCAACCCCACACAAACCATTCCTCTAAATCCCAACCCCACACAGAACATCCCAAACCCAACCCCAAACCATTGCCATAAATGCAACCCCACCTCTGCCTCTTCTCTCGGGCAGCTGAGCTCCCTAAATCCCAACCCCACATGGGGCATTCCCATAAACCCCAACCCCACACAGAACATTCCCAACCCTACACAATTAATTCCCCTAAACCCCAACCCCACAAAAACCACTCCCCTAAACCCCAACCCCAAACCCAGCCCCACCTCTGCCCCTCCTCTCAGGCAGCTGAGCTCCCTAAATCCCAACCCCACACAGACCATTCCCACAAACCCCAACCCCACAAAGAACATCCCAAATCCAAACCATTGCCATAAATCCCGACCCCACACCATTCCCACAAACCCCAACCCCACACAGCCCATCCCAAACCCAAACCCCTGCCATAAACCCAGCCCCACCTCTGCCCCTCCTCTCGGGCAGCTGAGCTCCCTAAATCCCAACCCCACATGGGGCATTCCCCTAAACCCCAACCCCACAAAGAACATCCCAAACCCACATCATTGCCACAAATCCCGACCCCACACCACTCCCACAAACCCCAACCCCACACAGCCCATCCCAAACCCAAACCCTTGCCATAAATGCAGTCCCACCTCTGCCTCTCCTCTTGGGCAGCTGAGCTCCCTAAACCCCAACCCCACACAGACCATTCCCAACCCCACACAGACCATTCCCAACCCCACACAGAACATTCCCCTAAACCCCAACCCCACACAGACCATTCCCAACCCCACACAGACCATTCCCAACCCCACACAGAACATTCCCCTAAACCCCAACCACACACAGATCATTCCCCTAAACCCCAACCCCACACAGCCCATCCCAAACCCAAACCCCCGCCATAAACCCAGCCCCACACCTCTGCCTCTCCTCTCGGGCAGCTGAGCTCCCTAAATCCCAACCCCACATGGGGCATTCCCCTAAACCCCAACCCCACAAAGAACATCCCAAACCCAATCCCGACCCCACACCATTCCCACAAACCCCAACCCCACACAGCCCATCCCACAAACCCCAACCCCACACAGAACATCCCAAACCCAACCCCAAACCCTTGCCATAAATGCAGTCCCACCTCTGCCTCTCCTCTCGGGCAGCTGAGCTCCCTAAATCCCAACCCCACGTGGGGCATTCCCATAAACCCCAACCCCACACAGAACATTCCCAACCCTACACAAATCATTCCCCTAAACCCCAACCCCACACAAAACATCCCAAACCCAACCCCAAATGACTCCCATAAACCCAGCCCCACCTCTGCCCCTCCTCTCGGGCAGCTGAGCTCCCTTTTTCCCCGGCTCCTTCTCTGGGGTTCCCGCTCCATCCTCGGGGGTTTTTCCTCCTCTCCTCCTGCCCAGCTGGGCTGACCCCACAGCAGCCTCGGGGCTCCCTGATCCTGGGGGTTTTTCCTGGTTTTTTTCCTGGTTTTTATCCTGGCTTTTTTCCTGGGTTTCAGCTGGATTTGCCCCAGCTCCCTGCTGCAGCTTCTCCTCCTGCCGCTGTTTCTGCTGCCGTTTCTCCCACATGATTTCCTCCAGGCTCTTCACCTGAATTCCAGAATTCCCTGAATTCTGACAGGGAAAAAAACCATCAAGAGCGTTTTTAGGGGAAAAATCCAGGGATAAAAATCTATGGAAATGTGAGCAATTGATCAGAAATGTGAAATTTTAAAATTTGTTGAGACTCACCTCAGCAGGGGCAGAGCCACTTTTGGGGGAAGGTTTGTTCAGCTCCACAATCATTTTTTCTTCTCTTCCAGGTGCTTTAAACCAAGAAAAACATCCAAAAATTGTTTTTTTATATTTTCTTGGGGGGTTATTTCCCAGCTCCCAAGGACAATCAGAACTCCCAAGAACAACCACACTTCCCAAGGGCAATCAGAATTCCCAAGGGACAATCCCAGCATTCCCCAGGGACAATCCCAACTCCTAAGGACAATCACAAATCCTAAGGACAATCACAACTCCCAAGGGACAATTCCACCTCACAGGGGACAACCAGAACTCCCAAGGAAAATCAGAACTCCCAAGAACAACCACACTTCCCAAGGACACTCCCAGCTCCCAGGGGACAATCCCAAGGGACAATCCCAATTCCCAAGGGACAACCACAACTCCCAGGGGACAACCACAACTCCCAAGGAGAATCAGAATTCCCAGGGGACAAACCCAACTCCCAAGAACAACCACACTTCCCAAGGACAATCCCAACTCACAGGGGACAATCCCAGCATTCCCAAGGACAATCCCAACTCCCAAGGGACAATCCCAACTCCTAAGGACAATCACAAGTCCCAAGTGACAACCACAACTCCCAGGGACAATCAGAACTCCCAAGAACAACCACACTTCCCAAGGACAATCCCAACTCCCAGGGCACAGTCCCAGCTCCCAGGGGACACTCCCAGGGGACATTCCCTGCTCACCCAGGGGACAATCCCAGCTAAGGACAACCCCAGCATTCCCAGGGGACACTCCAGGGGACAGTCCCAGCTCCCAGGGGACAATCCTAGCTAAGGACAACCCCAGCATTCCCAGGGGACACCCCCAGGGGACAGTCCCTGCTCACCCAGGGGACACTCCCAGCTCCCAAGGACAATCCCAACACTCCCAAGGACAATCCCAACTCCCAAGGACATTCCCAGGGGACACCCCCAGGGGACACTCCCAGCTCACCCAGGGGACAATCCCAGCACTCCCAAGGACAATCCCAACTCCCAAGGACATTCCCAGGGGACACCCCCAGGGGACAGTCCCAGCTCACCCAGGGGACAATCCCAGCACTCCCAAGGACAATCCCAACTCCCAAGGACATTCCCAGGGGACACTCCCAGGGGACAGTCCCCGCTCACCCAGGAGACACTCCCAGCTCCCAGGGGACACTCCAGGGGACAGTCCCAGCTCCCAGGGGACACTCCAGGGGACAGTCCCCGCTCACCCAGGGGACAATCCCAGCTCCCAGGGGACACTCCAGGGGACAGTCCCCGCTCACCCAGGGGACACTCCCAGCTCCCAGGGGACACTCCAGGGGACAGTCCCCGCTCACCCAGGGGACACTCCCAGCTCCCAGGGGACACCCCCAGGGGACAGTCCCCGCTCACCCAGGGGACACTCCCAGCTCCCAGGGGACACTCCAGGGGACAGTCCCTGCTCACCCAGGGGACAATCCCAGCTCCCAGGGGACACTCCAGGGGACAGTCCCAGCTCCCAGGGGACACTCCCAGCTCCCAGGGGACACTCCAGGGGACAGTCCCCGCTCACCCAGCAGCTTGGTGACCCTCAGCAGTTTCCTGCCCCTCGCCGCAGCCTCGGCAGGCCCGGGGCCGGCCGGGACGTTCTCCCCGCTCTGCTGCAGCCTCAGCGCCTTCTCCCTCTTGATCTCCTCCAGGGTTTTGATCCGAACTTCTGCAGCTCCCCTGGCTCTGCCAGCCTCTGCCAGCTGCACCCTGCCCGCAGCTGGGGCACCGATGTTCTGTCTCCTGGCATCTCCCTCGCTTCTGGCCCTGCTGCTCAACTCCTCGGCTTTCTCCTTCTCCTCTCCCGACCTTTTGTGGTTTTTTTCCACCAAGGCTCCCACCAGGGATTTGCTGCGAGCGGCAGGGGAAGGTTTTGCTGCTGAATTTGGATCTTCGGTTTTCCTTCCTTCTGCTGGGATTTTGGCCGGGGGTTCCCCTGCTCTCCTCTGCTTGGCTCTCTCCAGGCGGATTTCCTCCAGGGTTTTCACTCTGATCTCCTCGATGGGTTTGGCAGCTTTGTCTGAGGGCACAAAAAGCCAGCAATGAAACAGAGAGCAAGGGGAGAGAGGGGGGAAAAGTGTCCAGAATTGCTCCCAGCACTGAGGGAATTTGGGATTGAGGGCTCTCAGTGCTGCTTGGGTTGGAAGGACTTGGAGGAGCATCCAGGGACACTTTTCCCTGTCCTAGGTTGCCCCAGACAGGGCTGGGACACTCCTGGGATGGGGAAAACACAAAATCTCTGGGAATGAGTCAGGAGTGCTGAAACTGGGATTTTATAAATGGAATTCTGGAATGGTTTGGGTTGGAAAATCCTGAGGATCATCTCATTGCCAGGCTCTGCCATGGCAGGGACACCTCCCATGGTCCCGGGGTGCCCCAAACCCCATCCAGCCCTGGGATGGGGCAGCCACGGATTCTGTGGGGATTTGCAGGCTGGGAATGAGTCAGGAGTCCTGAAATTGGGATTTGTTTAAAGAATTCTGGAATAGTTTGGGTTGGAAGATCCTCAGGATCGTCTCATTGCCAGCCCTGCCATGGCAGGGACACTTCCCATGGTCCCAAACCCCATCCAGCCTTGGGGACTCCAGGGATGGGGCAGCCACGGATTCTGTGGGGATTTGCAGGCTGGGAATGAGTCTGGAGTCTGAAATTGGGATTTTTTATGGAATCCTGGAATGGTTTGGGTTGGAAATCTTAAGGATCATCTCATTGCCAGCCCTGTCATGGCAGGGACACCTCCCATGGTCCCAGGGTGCCCCAAACCCCATCCAGCCCTGGGATGAGGCAGCCACGGATTCTCCGGGAATGAATCCATTCTGAAATTGGGATTCTTTTATGGAATCATGGAATGGTTTGGGTTGGAAGATCCTAAGGATGATCCCATTCAGAATGGGACCATGGGCCATGGCAGGGACACTTCCCATGGTCCCAAACCCCATCCAGCCCTGGGGACTCCAGGGATGGGGCAGCCACGGATTCTGTGGGAATGAATCAATTCTGAAATTGGGATTTTTTATAGGATCATGGAATGGTTTGGGTTGGAAAATCCTAAGGATCATCCCATTCCCACCCCATGCCACTTCCCATGGTCCTGGGGTGCCCCAAACCCCATCCAGCCTTGGGATGGGGCAGCCACGGATTCTGTGGCAATTTGCAGGCTGAGAATGAGTCTGGAGTCTGAAATTGGGATTTTTTTAAAGAATAATGGAATGGTTTGGGTTGGAAGAGCCTAAAAATCATCCCATTCCCACCCCATGCCACTTCTCATGGTCCCAAACCCCATCCAGCCTTGGGGACTCCAGGGATGGGGCAGCCATGGATTCTGTGGGAATTTGCAGGCTGGGAATGAATCAGGAGTTCTGAAATTGGGATTTTTTTATAGGATCATGGAATGGTTTGGGTTGGAAAATCCTAAGGATCATCCCATTCCCAGCCCTGTCACTTCCCATGGTCCCAGGGTGCTCCAAATCCCATCCAGCCCTGGGATGGGGCAGCCATGGATTCTCTGGGAATTCCAGGGCAGGATTTCTTCCCAATTTCCCACCCAAAGCAGCCCAGGGAATGCTGCAATGGGTTGGTTTGGAAGGAATCACCCAATCCCATGGGCAGGGACACCTCCCACCATCCCAGCGTGAAATTTGATTAATTTTCTCCATTTTATTCTTTTTATTCACTGTCCAAGCTGGCCTGGGACACTCCCAGGGATGGAGCAGCCACAGCTCCTCTGGGAATTCCATCCCAGCCCCTTCCAGAGAACAATTCCTTCCCAAAATCCCATTTAAACCCCATTTTAACCCCATTGAAACCCCATCAGCCTGCAGCCATTCCCCTCATCTGTCCCTCCATCCCTTGGGAATATTCCCTGTCCATCTTTCCTTCAGGCCACAATGAGATCATCCCAAAATTCCCCCTCTTCAGGCTGAACAATCCCAATTCCCTGAACAAGAAACTTCTCCTCCTCCATTAAACCAATTGGATTTGGAAAATCAGAGCCAGTTATGATTTAAAATTCACAATTTAAGGCTGCATGGAAAGAAAAAACACCCAAAAAACCTGAATATTTCAATTTCAATATTTTCCTTTTTACCTGTCTCAGCGCTGCTCTGCTCAGAGGGCAGCCCCAGCCTCTCCTTCAGGGACTTCAGGACTTGAACTAAAAAAACAAGAGAAAAAGTTTAAAAAAATCCCAATTTTGGGTGGGAAATGAGACAGGAGAGCACCTCAGTGAGAATCAGAGTGACCCTGAAGCCTCAATCAATGTGCAGAAAGAAGCAGGAGAAAGGAGGAACAGAAATCCCGAAGGGAAAAGCTGGACAGAAAATCCCAACAGAAAATCCCAAAGGGAAAAGCTGGACAGAAAATCCCAAAGGGAAAATCCCAAAGGGAAAAGCTGGACAGAAAACCCCAAGGAGAAAAAATGGACATAAAATCCAAAAGAGAGAAGCTGGAGAGAAAATCTCTAAAGGAAAATCCCAAGGGGAAAAGCTGGACAGAAATCCCAACATAAAATCCAAAGGGAAAAGCTGAACAGAAAATCCCAAAGGGAAAATCCCAAAGGGAAAGGTGGACAGAAAATCCCAAGGAGAAAATCCCAAAGGAAAAGCTGGACAGAAAATCTCTAAAGGAAAATCCCAAAGGGAGAAGCTGGACAGAAACCCCAACACAAAACCCCAATACAAAATCCCAATACAAAACCCCAATAAAAAATCCCAATACAAAACCCCAATATAAAGTCCCAATACAAAACCCCAATATAAAACCCCAATACAAAATCCCAATAAAAAATCCCAATATAAAACCCCAATACAAAATCCCAATATAAAATCCCAATATAAAACCCCAATATAAAACCCCAATACAAAATCCCAATAAAAAATCCCAATATAAAACCCCAATACAAAATCCCAATATAAAGTCCCAATACAAAATCCCAATACAAAACCCCAACACAAAACCCCAATACAAAATCCCAATAAAAACCCCAATATAAAGTCCCAATATAAAACCCCAATATAAAGTCCCAATACAAAACCCCAATACAAAACCCCAATATAAAACCCCAATACAAAATCCCAATATAAAATCCCAATATAAAGTCCCAATATAAAACCCCAATACAAAACCCCAATATAAAATCCCAACACAAAACCCCAACACAAAACCCCAACACAAAACCCCCCACAGCACATCTGGCCCCAGCCCCCAGAGGCATCCAGCTGTTCCAGCTGTTCCAGCTGTTTGTACCTGTGCCTCTCTTTGGGGCCTTGTCCGCGTTGTGCTGCAGCTCCGCCTTCCTGCCCAGCCTGTCTGCCACGCTCCTCCTCAGGGGAAGGAACGTCTTCCCACCTTTCAAAATGAACAAAAAAAATGAGAAATTCCCTCAGAAAATTCCTCTGCAGGACCTGAACCCTCCCAGCTGAATCTGGAATTATTTTGGGGTTCAGTTATTTGCTGGCTTTGGTGGAAATATTTCCCAAAAAATTCTCACCCATGAGGGTTTTCCTTTTCCCCAGCCTGTCGGGAAGGTTCAGCTGGATCACAGGGTCCTCCCCTAAAACAAAAAAAAAATCAAATTTTTGCACCAAAAAATCTCCTTATCTCCAAAAAAAAAGCCATTTTCTGGCTGCCACAGGAATTAAAGAAGGATTTGGAGGGAAATTGGTTTTAATGATAAAAATTCCTGAATTCATCCCAACCTACAAAAATTCCCAATTTTCCAACACAAAATACAAATCAGGAAAGGCAGCAGTGAATCTCAGGATTATGAGGATAATTATCCTAATTAACCATTTTAGGATTATAAAGATAATTATCTTAGTGATCAGTGATTAGATTTAGGGATTTTCTTATTTAAAAAAGGGAATTTTGGGGGTTTTTTTACCTTCCTTGGAGGAGAGGGTCACAGTTCTCAGCACTGTCCTGACATTTTCCTTCTCTGGCACAGGAATGTTCCTGGCTTGGAGAGGATCCACAGCCACTCCTGAAGGGACCTTCTGCATAAAAAACAGCAAAAAAAATCAAAATATTTAGGATTTTTTCCTCAGAATTCCAAGCAGAAAATTCACCTGCCACATACCAGTGTAGCCACTCTAAAAAAATTGAATTTTCTCCCTACAGGATTTCCCAATTTGAAATAAAAAAATTAATTTATTGTGAATTATTCAAGGGAAATCAGGATGAAGAGAAGGACAAGGAGGGATTTTAGGGGTTTTAACTCACCACCTTGTTTTTTGGCTTTTTCCTTGAGTTTCTTCAGTTTGATCTCTTCCAAGGTTTGATTCCAAAATTTAAGTTGTCATCTAAAAGCAGAGAAAATTCAGGAAAATTGAGGTGAATCCATCCCAGAATATTGGGAATAAATTCTCCCAACTCTCCCCAAGAGTTAAAAAGCTCCAGGACAGGGGGGATTTGGGATTTTGGAAAATTGGGAGATTTTTTCAGCCTCCGAGGGAAAATTCACATTTTCAGCACAAAGTGATGGAGAGGGATCAGAGATTGCTGAATTCCTTGGATCTGGAATTGCACAATGCCTGAAGGGATTTTTTCAGGGATATTTTGTTTTAATTTTAGGAATATTTTATTTTTGTTTTAGGAATATTTTGTTTTAATTTTAGGAATATTTTGGTTTTATTGTAGGAATATTTTATTTTTATTTTAGGAATATTTTGGGGTTTTTTTCAGGAATATTTTGGTTTTGTTTTAGGAACATTTTGATTTTAATTCCCAATCCCAGCCCTGCATTCCCTTGCTTTGCACCGGGGTTGGGTTTCCTGGTGGGAATCACCCTCAGCCCATTGTGGGAATATTTTATTTTTATTTTTATTTTATTTGAGGAATATTTTCTTTTTATTTGAGGAATATATTTTGTTTTTATTTGAGGAATATATTTTGTTTTTATTTGAGGAATATTTTGGTTTTATTTTAGGAATATTTTTTGTTTTTATTTTAGGAATATTTTTGTTTTTATTTCAGGAATATTTTGTATTTAATTCCCAATTCCATCCCTGCATTACCTTCCTTTGCACTGGGGTTGGGTTTCCTGGTGGGAATCACCCTCAGGAATATTTTGTTTTTATTTGAGGAATATTTTGTTTTTATTTGAGGAATATTTTGGTTTTATTTTAGGAATATTTTGTATTTAATTCCCAACTCTAACCCCAGGATTACCTTGCTTTGCACCAGGGTTGGGTTTCCTGGTGGAAATCACCCTCAGCCCATTGTGGGAATATTTTGGTTTTATTTTAGGAATATTTTGGTTTTATTTTAGGACTATTTTGTATTTAATTCCCAATTCTAACCCCAGGATTACCTTGCTTTGCACCGGGGTTGGGTTTCCTGGTGGGAATCACCCTCAGCCCGTTGTGGGAATATTTTGGTTTAATTTTAGCAATATTTTGGTTTTATTTTATGAATATTTTGTATTTAATTCCCAATTCCAGCCCTGCATTACCTGGCTTTGCACTGGGGTTGGGTTTCCTGGTGGAAATCACCCTCAGCCCGTTGTGGCTCTCTGGGGCCGGGGGCTGCACTGGGGTTTTGGTTTCTTCTCCTTCTTCAGAAAGTTGGTCTGGAAAGGAAAATCCAACCCAAAATGAAATGATTGATGGGATTTCAATGCAATATTTTGGTTAAATGAAGGATTTCACCAAAACATTTCATTTTTATATAGCTCAATATTCCAACGACAACAAATCATCATTTTTCTGCAGCGTAAACATCGAATTTTATGATTTATATTTTAATTTTAAACAGAAATAAATGAAATAAACTGCAGATTTCTCACCATCATCACCCTCATCATCATCTGCTGCTCAATATTCCAACAACAACAAAAAACCATCATTTTTCTGCAGCGTAAACATTGAATTTTACGATTTATATTTTAATTTTAAGCAGAAATAAATGAAATAAACTGCAGATTTCTCACCATCATCATCCTCATCATCATCTGCAGCGTTGATGACCACGGGGGGGTGGGTGGGGCTGGGCACATTCTCAGAATTCTCCACCTTCATCACCCCCCTGAGCTGGGGGCAGGGGTTGGGCTGCACCGAGAGTTTGCTCTGCTGCAGCTGCACCAACTTCACCTCGTCCTCGGCGGCCTCGGCGGGGCTGGCAAGGGAGGCTGGGGAGGGAAAATATCCCAGATTTTATCTTAAAATGGGGGAAATTCGGTAAAAAATACTTGTGGGTTTAGTTCTGTGTTCTACAGGCATGAAGGGGTTAAAGGAGAAGGGAAAAGGAGGAGGGAAAAGGGAAGGGAAGGGAAGGGAAGGGAAGGGAAGGGAAGGGAAAGGGAAAAGGAGAAGGAAAAGGAAAAATATCCCAAATTTTATCTCAAATGGTGGGAATTTGGTAAAAGACACTGCTGGATTTAGTTCTGTGTTCTACAGCCATAAAGGGGTTAAAGGAGATGGGAAAAGGGAAAAGGGAAGGAAGGGAAAAGGAAAAGGAAAAGGAAAAGGAAAAGGAAAAGGAAAAGGAAAAGGAAAAAGGAAAAAGGAAAAAGGAAAAAGGAAAAAGGAAAGGAAAGGAAAGGAAAGGAAAGGGGAAAGGAAAGGGGAAAGGAAGAGGAAAGGAAAAGGAAAGGAAAAGGAAAGGAAAAGGAAAAATATCCCAAATTTTATCTCAAAATGGTGGGAAATTTGGTAAAAAACACTGCTGGATTTAGTTCTGTGTTCTACAGCCATAAAGGGATTAAAGGAGAAGGGAAAAGGAAAGGAAAAGGAAAAGGGAAGGGAAGGGAAGGGAAGGGAAGGGAAGGGAAGGGAAGGGAAGGGAAGGGAAGGGAAAGGAAAAATATCCCAAATGTTGAGCCTGAAATTGAAAATTTAAGAGCAGAACACTGCTGGATTCAGTTCTGTAGGTGGAAAACTCCCTTTTGCTTGGAGGAAGGAAGATCACATCCAGGGAATTTTAAGGAATATTCAGCATGGATTTTTGGGATATTCACTATGAATTTTTAGATATTTTGATGAAAAAAAAGGTGGGAAACTCACTTTTGCTGGGGGGCAGGAAGAGCCCATCCACGAACCTGCCCTTGGTGTGGTGGAAGGCGCAGTTGTGCTTCTGGCAGCCCCCGGGCTGCTTCTCCCAGTAACAGGCGATCTCACTGCGCTTTTTCTGGGGAAAATACAAATAAAAATGAAATATTGGTGGGGAAAATCATAAATCCAAACTGAAATGTTTGTGGGGAAAATAACAAATAAAAATTGAAATATTTGTGGGAAAAAACCATGACATTCAAACTAAAAATATTGGTGGGGAAAACATAAATAAAAACTGAAATATTTGTGGGAAAAAAACATAAATTCAAACTAAAAATATTGGTGGGGAAACACAAATTCAAACTTAAAATATTTGTGGGAAAATCACAAATCCAAACTTGAAATATTTGTGGGAAAAACACAAATACAAACTGAAATATTGGTGGGGAAATCACAAATCCAAAACTAAAAATATTGGTGGGGAAAATAACAAATAAAAACTGAAATATTGGTGGGGGTAAAACATAATTCAAACGAAAATATTGGTGGGGAAAACATAAATAAAAATGAAATATTGGTGGGGAAAATAACAAATAAAAATTGAAATATTGGTGGGAAAAACATAAATTCAAACTGAAATATTGGTGGGGAAAAATCACAAATAAAACCAAAAAATATTGGTGGGGAAAATCATAAATCCAAACTTGAAATATTTGTGGGAAAAACACAAATACAAACTGAAAATGAAAGACTGGAAAATTTGAATTTTTTCCTTTTTCCTGCTAACAAAACCCCTGTAAATTTTTACTGGGCAAGGATATTTATCCCCGAAATGTGTGGGATGGTCTGGGAGGGATTTTTGGGGTGCTCACATCGATCTCCATGTGCCTGAACCTGCAGACGTTCCTGAAGCAGCGCCCCTCCTGCCACAGCGTGCACACGGTCTCGCTGCCCAGCGCCGCCTCGCAGTGCCGGATACGAGCACGAGTCACCCTGGAGTCACAGAAATCAGCAAAAAATGGCGTTAGGGAACAGGAAATTCACTGGAATTCAGAGTAAAAATGGGATTGAGGAACAGGAAATTCACTGAAATTCACAGAAATCAGCAAAAAAAAAATGGGGGGAAACACTCAGTTTCAAAGGAGAAATGGGTTTGGGAAGGAGAATTATAGAGGTTAAAAAAATGGGATGGGAAAAGGACACAGGTTAAAAAATGTGTTGGAAAGGGAACAAAAATCCAGATTTCAGAACTGGGACCTGAACAATGACTCAATAATCAATAATTAATCAATTAATTAATGAAGAGCAATTGATTTCCTCCCACTCCCAGCTCAGAGCCAGGCAGGGAATGAGGAATTCCTGAGGGAATTGATCTGAATGAAAAACACACAGGTTAAAAAATGGGATGGGAAAAGCACAAAGGTTAAAAATGGAAAGGAAAAGGACACAGGTTAAAAAATAAATGTGTTGGAAAGGGAACAAAAATCCAAATTTCAGAACTGGGAGCTGCACAATGACTCAATAATCAATTAATTAATTAATTAATAGGAATTATTTTCTCCCAGGCCCTGCTCAGAGCTCAGGCAGGGAATGAGGAATTTGTGAGGGAACTGGATCTGAATGAAAATCACAGAGCTTAAAAATGGGATGGGAAAAGCAGCCAGGTTAAAAAATAAATGGGTTGGAAAGGGAAAAAAGTCCAGTTTTCAGAACTGGGAGCTGAACAATAAATCAATAATCAATAATGAATTAATTAATTAATGAAGAGGAACTGATTTCCTCTCTCACCCACTCCCAGCTCAGAGCCCAGGCAGGGAATGAGGAATTCCTGAGGGAATTGGATCTGAATGAAAATCACAGAGCTGAAAAATGGGATGGAAAGGAAAAGGACACAGGTTAAAAAATAAAAGGGAACCAAAATCCAGATTTCAGAACTGGGAGCTGAACAATGACTCGATAATCAATAATGAATTAATTAATTAATGAAGAGGAACTGATTTCCTCTCTCACCCACTCCCTGCTCAGAGCCCAGGCAGGGAATGAGGAATTCCTGAGGGAATTGGATCTGAATGAAAAACACAGAGCTGAAAAATGGGATGGGAAAAGCACACAGGTTAAAAATGGAATGGAAAGGAAAAGGAATATGGGTTAAAAAATAAATGGGTTGGAAAGGGAACAAAAATCCAGTTTTCAGAACTGGGAGCTGCACAATGACTCAATAATCAATAAATAATTAATTAATGAAGAGGAACTGATTTTGTGCTCAGAGCCCAGGCAGGGCAGGAGGATTTCTGGCCTCACCTTGTTGCAGGTGGAGTAGAAGTAGAAGTAGCAGTCGTCCCCCTGGCTGGACATGCTGCAGATCCTCACTCCCTACTCAGGGTTTGCTCCTCCCAGGGCTCTCCTGCTCCAGCCTGGGCAGGAACTCAAAGGCTTCTCCTGGCTCAGCTCTGACAGCTCCTGCTTAAAAGTAACCCTGGAGAACAGAAATTGGGGATTTAGAGGTGTTCCCTGTGAGTTTATTTGGGTTTGGAAGGAGCAGTGAGTTGAAATCTGCTGGGCAGAAAAATTAAGTAAAATCTGTTGAAAATTCCGTTTTTTTATAACAAATTTTTAGGCAGATTTGGCCCAAACTGCAGCATAGATTGTGATTTGTGATCTTGATAACAGTTCTGGGTTTTGAGGTAGAGACAAATTGTGTGTGACCCAAAAATTTAGGGGTGACCCACAAGAGAGGCACTCCTTCAAAAACTGGGTGTAATATTGAATAATTGATGATACAATGTCTTAATAAATTAAATTACTATTATAATATTATTATAATGTGTTATTTCATATTATACTGTTAACACCAATCCCAGGGAATTTTCCCCCAATCCTATTCCCTGATTCTGTTTAAAAGTAACCCTGGAGAACAAAAATTGAGTTGTTTCCTGTGAGTTTATTTGGGTCTGGAAGGAGCAGTGAGTTGAAATCTGCTGGGCAGAAAAATTAAGTAAAATTTGTTGAAAATTCCATTTTTTTATAACAAACTTTTAGGCAGATTTGGTCCAAACTGCAGCATAAATTGTGATTTCTTAGTAACAGTTCTGGGTCTTGAGGTACAGACAAATTACAGTGTGACCCAAAAATGTACAGGGTGACCCTAAAGAGAGGCACTTCAAAAATTGGGTGTAATATTGAATAATTGATGATACAATGTCTTAATAATAAATTAAATTACTATTATAATATTATTATAATGTGTTATTTCATATTACACTGTTAACACCAATCCCAGGGGGTTTTCCCCCTCAATCCAAGGAGATTTTTCCTCTCTATCCCAGAGGATTTTTCCCTGATCCCAGGGAATTTTCCCCCAATCCTACTCCCTGATTCTGTTTACAAGTAACCCTGGAGAACAAAAATTGGGGATTTAGAGTTGTTTCCTGTGAGTTTATTTGGGTTTGGAAGGAGCAGTGAGTTGAAATCTGCTGGGCAGAAAAATTAAGTAAAATTTGTTGAAAATTCCGTTTTTTTAAACAAATTTTTAGGCAGATTTGGCCCAAACTGCAGCATAAATTGTGATTTGTAATCTTAATAACAGTTCTGGGTTTTGAGGTACAGACAAATTAGGGTGTGACCCACAAATGTACAGGGTGACCCTAAAGAGAGGCACTTCAAAAATTAGGTGTAATATTGAATAATTGATGACACAATGTCTTAATAAATTAAATTACTATTATAATATTATTATAATGTGTTATTTCATATTACACTGTTAACACCAATCCCAGGGAATTTTCCCCCTGATCTCAGAGGGATTTTTCCTCTAATCCCAGGAGGATTTTCCCCCATTCCCAGGGGATTTTTCCCCAAATCCAGGGGATTTTTCCTTCATCCCAGGAGGATTTTCTCCCCAAATCTCAGGGGGAATTGTCCTCCCATCCCACTCCCCAATCCCAGAGGATTTTCCCCCAAATCCAGGGGGATTTTTCATTGATCCCATGGGATTTTTCCCCCATCCTATTCCCTGATCCCAGGCGATTTTTCCCCAATTCCATTCCCTGATCTCATGAGAATTTTTTCCCCTCAATCCCAGGGGAACTTTTCCCCAATTCCAGAGGATTTTCCCCTCAATCCTAAAAGGATTTTTCCCCTCAATCTCAGGGCATTTTCTCCCCAATCCCAGAGGATTTTTCCTCCAGTCCCAGGAGATTTTTTCCCCTGATTTTCCCCCTCAATCCCAGGGCATTTTTCCCCAATCTCAAAACATTTTTTCCCCAATCCCAGGAGGATTTCTCCCCCAGTTTTTCCCCCAATCCCAGGGCAGCTTCTCCCTGATTTTTCCCCCCAATCCAGGGGCATTTTTTCCCCACTCCCAGGTGATTCTCCCTCAATCCCAGGGCATTTTCCCCCTGATTTTTCCCCTCAATCCCAGGGGATTTTTTTTCCTGATCCCAGGAGGATTTTTCCCCAATCCCAGGGGCATTTTTCCCCAATCCCAGAGCATTTTTTCCCCTGAATTTTCCCCCAATCCCAGAGGATTTTCCCCTCAACCCCAGAGGGATTTTTTTCCTGATTTTTCCCCTCAATCCCAAAGGATTTTTCTCCCAATCCCAGAGGATTTTTCCCTGATTTTTCCCCTCAATCTCAGGACATTTTCCCCCAATCCCAGGGGGATTTTTTTGCCTCATTTTGCCTTCAATCCCAGGGGCATTTTTCCCCTGATTTTCCACCAACCCCAGTGAATTTTTCCCCTGATTTTTTCCCCAATCCCACGGCATTTTTCCCCCATAATTTTTCCCAATCCCAGGGGGATTTCTGCCTCATTTTCCCCTCAATCCCAGGTGATGTTTCCCCTCAATCCCAGAGGATTTTTCCCCCCAACCCCAGAGGATTTTCTCCTGGATTTCTCCCCAATCCCAGGGGGATTTTTCCCCCAATTCCAGAGCATTTTTCCCCGAATCCCAGAGGAATTTTTCCCTGATTTTTTCCCCAATCCAAATGAATTTTTCCCTGATTTTTTCCCCAATCCAAATGAATTTTTCCCTGATTTTTCCCCCAATCCCAATGAATTTTTCCCTGATTTTTTCCCCTCAATCTCAGTGCATTTTCCCCAGTCCCAGGGGGATTTTTCCCCTGATTTCCCCCCACCCCAGAGCCCCGTGGCTCTCACCCACCTGGCCACGTCCAGCCCAGCCTCTGCTCTTCCCAGCCATGCAGGTCCCTCTCCTGTAGGCCGAAGGATTCCGTGAATGAACAACAAAGGGGCAGAAAGAATTTGTGAATTTTGCCTTTTTTTTTGCTTTTTTTTTTGTTTTTTTTGCTTTTTTTTTTCCTCCTGACAATTCCAAGGGAACCTCTCAGCCAACAATTCCAAACTCTGAGGTTGCTCTCAGAACAATGGAGGAGGAATTATTGAGTCCATTGCAAATCTGGAGACAGCCAGGGATATTTTAGCTCTTCCAATAAAAAAAAATTAAAAAAAACATAAAAAAAAAACAATAAAAAAATTATAAAAAAAATTCCCCAGCGATTCAAAGTGGCTCAGGATTCAAAGTGGCTGCAAAAAAATGAGGCTCCATCTTCCACAGCTGGGGAAATTTTTAATATTTTTAATTTTTTTTTAATTAGTTAATTCAGTAAGTTGCAATTTCTGGTCTTCTGAGGTTTCTTCACCTATTAAGAAAACACAAAAACCTTCCCCCCGTATTTATGACAAAAAAATAAAACCCCAAATTTGTGTGTATAAACCTCAAAATTGTGTTTATACACACCCCAAAGGAGGCAGGGACAGCAGGACAAGGAGAAAAACCACAAAAAAATCAGAATTTTAACCCATAAATTCGAATTGAGGGGAAAATGAGATTATTGGGGACAACACAGGGACAAACCCATCCCCAACCCAGGAATTTTTGGGAATTTGGGGCAGAATTTCCAAGGAATTTCCCCAATTTTTCCATTTGTGCTGTTCCCTAATCACTCAGCACCAAAAATTGATTTATTCTGAATTTTTATCCCATTTTTCTTGTGGATATTCTGCTAAAAACCAAATAAAAATCAATTTCACCCCTCTGATGTTTCTGATTCTTTGGGGAGGACAAAACTCAATAAATTTTTCTTTACAGTTAAAAAGAAACACTTGGAACCTTTTACTCACACAAAGGAAATTTTGTGAATTTTTCCACGATTTTTAAATTTTTTTTTTTTGGCCAAGGAATTTTCCCAAATCTAAAATAAAGAGAGGAAAAGTTGGGTTCTCATGTTAATTATTAATTTTTAGGTTTTTTTGAGGGATTGAAAAAGGAATAAAAATAAAAGAGGATTTAATTCTTCCTGTTCTTCTCCATGGGGTTAAATTCAATTTTGGAGATTCAAAAATCAGATTTTTAGCTCATGGAATTTAATCCTAAAAACTCCTGGAGCTCCTTTTGGTGGAAATTCAACTTTTCCCAAGGGGATTCTTCAGTTTGCTGAAATCCTGGGAGTGAGGGGTGAGAAAAGCAGAAATCCCAACCCAAAGCAGGAATTTCCACATTTAAAATTCAACATTTCTACATCCACCACCCTGAGGGGAGAGAAAATCCCTTTAGATTGAATTATTTTTAAAAATAACTCAAATTTTTTGCCTTCATTTTTCCATATTTCAGTGTGGATCTTGTTTAAATTGGAATAAACCTTGAAAATCAACAACAATAACAGAAAAGAATCAACCAAACCCACCCAAAACCTTTAAACTTCATTAGAGGGATTTAATAATTAAAAAAGGTTCATTAAAAAACATTTTTTGTCGAATTTTAAACTGGTAAATTTAAAAGAATCTGAATAAAAATGAGTAACTCTGGTGCACTCAGTAGGTTTTGAATGAATTGAAGTTAATGAGGATTTTAAACAGTTTTTTGTTCAGAATTCATTAAATTAATGAAATTTTTTATTAAAAAAAAATTAAATCAATTAAAAATGCAGCAGCAAAAACCAGGCCATAAAAGCAACACAACTTTTATATTTTTTAAAGGGAAAATAAAGAAGTTTTCCTGCATTTCCCTGAAAGGAATTCTTGGATTTTAAACTCCCAAATTTCCTTTAGAAAAATTTCCTCCTGCTGCTTCATTTGTGCCTTAAATCCCTTGGATGATTCATTTCCTGTTTATCAGGTGGCCAAGAAGGAAAAGCAGCAGGAATTTCACATTTTAACCCTTTTTTAGCCATTTTTCCTCATTCTTTTCTCTCTCTTTCAGCTTTTCCTCATCAAAAATCAACCCCAAACCAAGGGAAGCTGCTCCTTTCCCTCTTGAATAAAACAGGAATAATTAAAGTAAATTTAATTTAATTTTTTGTATTTCTGAGCTTAACCTCAAAGCCTGGCAGCAATTTCCTGTGACAATTCCTCTCCCTCACAGGAATCTTTTCTTAAATACAAAAAAAACATCGATTTTTTTTAAAAAAAATTTGATTTTCACATTGAAAAATGTTATTAAAGCTGGGAAATGGCAGGACCAGGAAGTTTTACCTGGAAAATTCTTCCTGCTCTGCTTGAGCTGTGCCCAAATTCAACCCTAAATTCCTTTATTTTATTTATTTCTATTTCTTACAGCCAAATAAAGCTGTGATTTATTTAGGAAACGCAACCTTGAGCGCAACCTGGAGGCTTTGATCCCTTTAACAACAACAATAAATTTTCTTTTTGGTATTTCCATAACAAAAATCGACGTCAGAAAGCAGAACCTTTAAAAAATCAGAAAAACACCCCAAAAATTCACAGAATCGCGCTGTTTTAACAACATCCAGGAGGAATAAGCTTTAAAAAATAAGGAAAAAACACCAAAAATTGGCGGATTCGCGTTGTTTTAACAAGCTCCGGGAGGAATTGAGCCCGGCTGCATCCAGAGTTACTCAGCTCCTGAAGTTCCTTTAGGGAATTACGTTAGAAATGCCCCTCGGACGCGTCGCTACAACAGGAAAAAAGGAGTTTTGATGTGAAAAATGAGGAGATTTAGGAAATATCTGAGCTGGGTTTGGAGGGGGGACAGCGCTGAGGGAAGGCCTCGGGCCTACCCCAGGCCCGCAGCTCCCCCTCCCCAAAACCCCGGGGAGCAAACCCGCCTCACCCGGCTTCATTCCCACATAATTCCGGGTTTATTCCCACATAATCCCGGTTTTATTCCCACTCAATCCCGGTTTTATTTCCTCTTAATTCCGCCTCGCCCCTCAGCGTTCCCCGGCCGCTGTGGGGCCGCGCGGCCTTGCGGAGGAGCCGGGCTTGAGCCAGCACCGCCCCCCAGCCTGTTCCTCCCCATCTCCCACCAGCCGCCGCAGGGCTCCGAAGCCGCTCTATTTACGGTCGCTCAGGGAGTTTGAGTTTTACCGAGCCCCCGGGGGCCGCCGTGTCGCTGTCGCCGCGCTCCGCCGGGGCCGCCGCTGCCGTGTCCCCGGTGCCCGGCTCAAAGATGGCGCCCGGTGCCCGCGCAGCCTCAGCGCGCCCGCGGCCAAGATGGCGCCCGGAAATGGCTTCACCCGCCCGACAGGAAAAGAGGGGGTCTGAGGGAAAACATGGGTGGATTTTGCTCTTTTATGGCTTTCTCGTACTTCAAAACAAGGATAAATATTTTTTATTAAACGGGGTCGTATTTCTCCATCCTTCCGCGAATCGCCGGGGTCACCGCCGCCGTGTCCCGGTGCCCCGCTCAAGGATGGCGCCCTCAGCCAAGATGGTGCCCGGAAGTGGCTTCACCCGCGCGACAGGAAGAGAGGGAGTCTGAGGGGGAACGGGAGTGGATTTTGCTGTTTTGTGGCTTCCCCGCCCTTCAAAACTCCTTCAAAAATAGAATAAAGATTTTTACGAAGTAAACAGGGCCGTGTTTCTCTATCCTGCCGCGATCCATCGTCACCGCTACCGTGTCCCGGTGCCCGGCTCAAAGATGGCGCCCGGTGCCCGCGCAGCCTCAGCGCGCCCGCGGCCAAGATGGCGCCCGGAAATGGCTTCACCCGCCCGACAGGAAGAGAGGGGGTCTGAGGGGAAACGGGGGTGGATTTTGCTCTTTTTTGGCTTTTCCGCCAAAGCCAAAAAGCCAAAAAGCCTCAAAAAGGGACAAAGCTTTTTCCAGTGAAACGAACAGGGTTGTGTTTCTCCATCCTGCCGGGGCCGCCGCCGCCGCCGCCGTGTCCCGGTGCCCGGCTCAAGGATGGCGCTGGCTGCCAAGATGGCGGCCGGAAGTGGCTTCACCAGCCCGACGGAAAGGGAGAGGGCGGGCGGGCCCCTGAGGCGGAGCGGGGGTGGATTTTGTTCTGTTTTTTTTGCTTCACCGCATTCCAAAAATCCTCCAAAAGGGGACACATCTTTTCCCTGTGAAGCGAACATGGCCGTGTTTCTCCATCCTGCCCTCTTGTCACATAATTTAGGTTGGAAAATCCCTCCCGGACCATCCACCTGTTCCAGCGCCCTCAGTGCCACGTCCAATCCTTCCTTGACACCTCCAGGGCTGAGGGGGACTCCAAACCTCCCTGGGCAGCCACTTCCAAATCCTGGCCGCCCTTTCCACGAGGAAATTCCCCCCGATGTCCCAAAAATTGTCACCAATCCCAGGTGCCATCCCCTCCCTCACGCCCCCTCAGGGACGTGAATTCCTGGGCATGGTTTGGGACAGATAAACCCCCGAGCTGCCGGACACACGGAGCACGGCACAGTTATACATTTTATTCTGTGGATGTAATAAAAGCCAAAAGCTTCTGAATGCCTTTTCCCCAGGAAAAATCCTGGGAGAAAATTATGTGTCTCTGAATACCACACATTGGTCTATATAAATTATTAAGCCAGGGCAGCCCCTCATGGATCTTTTTGGTGGTATTTGGCAGCCATTTGGTCACTTTGCTTGCAGATTATGGAAGAATAATCAATGAAATAACAGAAATCCCACACTGAGGGGAGTTTGGGTTGGATCCCCATCCATTTCCACCCCACTGGAGCTATTCCTGAGGAAAGTTTGGGACAGACAGATCCCCGAGCTGCCGGACACACAGAGCACGGCACAGTTACACATTTTATTCTCTGGATGCAATTTCTTCTCAACAGCCAAAAGCTTTATTGATTCCAAACCATTCTCCTTCTCCCTCTTCATTTCTTTTTTCTTACTGCACCCTCTTTTCCCACACCTCAAGCACTCTGCTGCTTCCATTTTGGACTTTTAGCTCTGCTTGGAGTTTGTTTTCTCAGAAGAAGCCAACGAACAAATCATTCAGATTATTTTTTTTTTCTTTTTCTCCCAAGATCCATATAAATTACATGCAAAACATTGTACATAGAGATTAATATCAAAATGCAATACAGATCAGGTGCACTTTAAGCTGGACTCTAGGATATGGCAAACACACCAGGGTACATATTGCTTTGAAACCACCATTGTTTTGTTTTTTAATGTCATGCATACCACATAATATTCAGTCTTTTGTTTTGTATTTTGGTTTTTTTTTTCTTTTTTCTCTCTCCCGTTTTTTATACAAAAATACCAGTGCTTATTATACTGAGTTACTGGAAAAAAAAAAAAAAGAAAAACTCGGTTCCACGTGCCCTCTTCAAAAGGAAGTTTTTTTTTGTTTTGTGAGAGCGTTGGATAAATATATATACACACACATAAATGTTGAGTTCAGACTGTATATATATATATATTTATTGAAGGGGAGGAAATAAACTAAAGGCAGTTTTAACCATGGGTTTTAACCATGAAAATTGAGGAGTTTGGGGAGAGCTGAGTCAAGGTGAGGGGGGGATGCTGGAGAGGAAGAAATGCCAAAATCCCTGTTTGGGGGGGGAAAAATCATATTTGGATGGAAAAAGAGCAGGAAAAGGAGAAGGAAAAGGAGAAGGAAAAGGAGAAGGGGCTCCAGGGGAGATTTGGGGGTGTAGGAGGCGTTTTGGGCTCAGGGGGTTGGAGATGGAGCAGAAGCCATGCAGGCCTAGGTGTCCCCACAGAGGAACAAAAACCTTCTCAGGTGGTGCCAGAGGTGCCAGGAGCTGGCAGTGCCACCTGGAGATGCCCTTTGGGCATTTGGGATGGGATTTTTTCCCAGTTTAGGTTTTTTTCCCCTCAGAGAGGAGCTGAGGCCTCCAGGCCCAGGCGTGAGGGGGAAAATGGCGCCCATGCTCAAACGCGGTTTAGTTTATTTCCTTCTTGAGATCGCTTGGAAAATTTCACTTTATTGCACGGAAAACCTTTGGGAAAAAATAAAAAAAAAGAAAGAAATAAAAGAAATCAAACCCCCTCCCCACACCCTTCTCCCTGTGCAAATCATAAAAAAACCTCAGCAGGAGAAAACCTCAAGAGCTGCCTGGCCAGCGAGCCGCGCACAGGCCGCAGTGTCTTTGGTACCAATCCACCAATTCCACGGAAAATCCACGGAAAATCCACAGAAAATCCACGGAAAATCCGCAAATCCGCCCTGCTGGGATCAAGAACTGGATGCAGAAGGATGTTCAGAGTGTTTTAATAACAAAGCATTCCAAGGCAAGTTGATCACAAGGAGGAGGGAGGGGGTGGCTCTGCTTCCTGCCGGCCCTCCCCTGCTCCGCGCGCACTCGTGGCAGTTCAAACAAAGCAAAAAAACCCCAGAAATTATTCATAATAATATATATTTATATGGATATTTATATCTCCCCCTAGTCAAGGCATGTTGCAGAAAGTCCCCAAAAGTCCGTGCCGCCGACCATGCCTTTGTTTTTGGAGCACCAATCTCCCCCAACTCTCTTTTTTTCTTTTTTTTTTTTTTGTGTAATGTCCTCAATAACTTAAGCCAAGAGTCAGCTGCTGCCAGGATATCACTGAAACTTAACCCAAAAAAACAAAACTTTACAGGAAATCTGCACAAGAAACATTTATACTTGAAGCAACCAGCCATACACCAACATAATTTATAGATATTTATATATATAAAAAAACCCCATTTGTGTCATCCAACTCACGGCTAGTAGAAAGATGGCTGCTCAGAGAAAAGGAAGCTGACTGGCATCCGATGGCTGAATTAATTAATCCACGGAATTAATTAAAGTGTCCCTTGCAACTGCCCTCAAGCAGCGGCGGGGACTCGAGATCTCTTTATTTTCTTTTTTTTCTTTAAACAAAATACATATGGCTGACGTAAAAATATCAGTTTCTGAGCTAAAGAAAACTAGATTTTTTTTCTTTTTCTTTTTTTTTTCTTTTTTTCTTTTTTTGCATAATATTTATATAGCATTATTTCTCCCTCCTCCCCCCCCCCAACTCCTAAAATGGAAACTAGAATGACAAAAATAGAGGAAAAACAAACTAAAGGAACGACCAGACCCTTTGTGGCAAACCCTGCCAGTCACAGATTTCTGGGAGTGACTTTGAGAGTCTCCAAAATTGGCTTGAAGTTGTTGTTGGTTTGAGTCCTTTTTTTTTTTTATTTCTTTTTTTCAACAGGTCTGAGGTATTAAAAAAAAATATCAAAATGAAAAAAAAAAAAATTGGTGCATCCCCCCAAAAAGTATTTAATAAATATTTATGTAAGCTTGTAAGAACACCATATCTTCTCTTTTTTTTTTTTTTTGGTTTTTTTGCAAGTATTTAAAATAGAAAAAGTGAATATTTTTTTTAGTTTTTTTTTTAAGCAACGTCACCTTTAGCACAGAACCAAAACCCCACAACCACCCCTCGTTTGGGGATTTTTTTGTGTGTGTTTAACCCAACATCCCCTCACTCCCCTGGGTTATTTTTTTGTGGGGAGGGAGGCAAGGAGGAGCCAGGCACGGGGTGGACACTGAATTTGCACTGGGGACGGGCAGTGGTGGCAATTTCTTCTTGCTGTTGGCAGTGAACAAAGCCCAGCTCGCCAGCACCAGGGTGGGATATTCAGGATATTTGGGATTTTTGGGAGAAAGACCTTTCCTCAGCAGGAAAAAGGAGCTCATCCTTCCCTCCTCCTCCTCCTCCTCCTCCTCCTCCTCCTCCTCCTCCTCCTCCTCCTCCTCCTCCTCCTCCTCCTCCTCCCAGCCCAGGGAAGGACACAGAGACACTTGGTTTGTGTTTGTGGTTTAAGGAACACTTAAATCTTGGCAAAGATCTGGGCCTGGCGTGGCAGGAGGTGCTGCAGGCAGTGCTCGGACAAGGCACGGGAGATTCCGCTGTGCGTTCCTGGTGGGGCAGGGGAGGAGAACCCAGCCAGAACCAGCCTTTCCCAAAAACAAAACCAAAAAAACCCTCGGGGTTTGGAATCCAGGGGTGGGAATGGCCTCGTTTCCAGCTTGTTTGGTCTGTTCCTCTCAGCCAGAGGGGATGGAGGAGAGCAGGGAGGCTCTCAGGAGGAGGAGAAGCCAGGGATGGCCAGAGGGACAATCCAGGGCCAATTCCAAGGAAAGGGACTCTCACTGGGCTGTTCCAGGGCTGGAGGTGAGGAAGGGCTCAAGGGGAGGAGATGGAGGAGAGCAGGGCGGCTCCTGGGACGAGAAGAAGAAGCCCAAGCCCTGATTTCAGCTCTGGGATGGCCAGAGGGACAATCCAGGGCCAATTCCAAGGAAAGGGACCCTCACTGGGCTGTTCCAGGGCTGGAGGTGAGGAAGAGCTCAAAGGGAGGGGATGGAGGAGGCTCCCAGGAGAAAGAGAAACCCAAGCCCTGCTTCCAACTCCAGGGATGGCCAGAGGGACAATCCAGAGCCAGCTCTCACTGAGTTATTCCAGGGCTGGAGGTGTTGAGGGCTCAAGGGGAAGGGATGGAGGAGACTCCCAGGAGGAGGAGAAGCCCAAGCCCTTCCAACTCCAGGGATGGCCAGGGGTACAATCCAGAGCCACCTTCAAGGGACTCTCACTGGGTTGTTCCCAGGGCTGGAGGTGAGGAAGAGCTCAAGGGGAGGAGATGGAGAAGAGCAGGGAAGTGGATCCCAGGAGGAGAAGCCCAAGCCCTGCTTCCAGCTCCAGGGATGGCCAGAGGGACAATCCAGAGCCATCTCCAAGGAAAGGGACTCTCACTGGGTCATTCTCAGGCCTGGAGGTGAGGCAGGGCTCAAAGGGAAGAGATAGAGGAGAGCAGGGAGGTGGCAGAGCTTCCTCCAAGGGGAGGAGAAGCCCAAGCCCTGCCTCCAGCTCTGGGATGTCCAGAGGGACAATCCAGAGCCACCCTCAAGGGACTCTCACTGGGTTATTCCAGGGCTGGAGGTGAGGGAGGGCTCAAGGGAAGGAGATGGAGGAGAGCAGGGAGGTGGCAGAGCTTCCCCAAGCTCCAGGGATGGCCAGAGGGACAATCCAGAGCCAATTCCAAGGAAAGGGACTCTCACAGGGTTGTCCCCAGGCCTGGAGGTGAGGAAGGGCTCAAGGGCTCCAAAAGAAGCAGCCAAGTGAGGCCAAGCCTCCAGCAGCTCCTCCTCAGGGAGACCTGCAGGCATCCAAACCGAACTCCAGGAAAATCTGGGATCATCCAGGGACATCCCTGCCTTCCACTGGGCCATGAGACAGCTGGAGTGATCCTTCCCAGGATTCAGGAGATCCCCACTCATCCTCCCATGGCTTTTGGGCATGGCTGGAGCCTCCTCCCAGATCCCTGTGAGGCTGAGGGGACCCCAAAAACACAGAAAAAAGGGCAAAATTTCCTCTGTTCTGGAGGGCAGGAGCTGGGAGAGCTGCAAAAATCCTCCAGGAGTTTCCCCCCTGACCAAGAGCAGCAGAGAGGCCTCTCCTAGAGAAGAGAATTCCTACAGAATTCCTCAGGAAGAAGCTGCATCCCTCACAACCTGGGGGTTTTCCCCACCTTTACCCTGGAAGTTTCACCTCCACCTTTGCAGGAAAATCAGAATTTATCCCTTCATTTCTCATCTCCCAGTCTGGAAACAGAGAAAGAGAGGAAAACATGTGGGCACACACAGAGGGGGAGCTGGAAGAAGCCCAGGTACCATTTTTCAAAGGTGGAAGACTGGTGGGCATCCCTGGATCTCTGAACCTTGCAGTAAACACCTTCCCCTGGCTGGGATTTTTTAGTTTATTCCTTAATTTCTGCACTGGAGCAGTGACTCCCCCTCCCCACTTCCCATTGGGTAGGGGGGAAAATCCCACAAGCAAAGAGCAAACCCCAACATTAGAAGGAAAAAACCCCTAAAAACCACATGTGAAAAAAAAACCAAAAACACAAGAAAAATAAAATCAAGTCACAAGTGCACCCCCAGCCTTGAGGCTGAGGGAGTGTAAGACTACAACAATTTGAATTTCCTTGGAACATGCATTTCTCCAAAGTGAAAACCCCAAGTGAAAAACCCAACTCTCGGAGAGGAAAGAACCTGGCAGCTTCCCCTGGGTGAGTACCACGGAAAATCAGGGATGGAGATGCACAATTGGTTTGGTTTTGGTTTTTTTTTTTGGCTTAACCTCTCTCCCAACACCCAGCTCGGTGGTACTCTGGTTCCCACTGCTAAATAACGGTAAAAAAACCCAACAAAATGAACCAAAAAAAGAAAAAAAAACACATTAAACCCCCAACCCCACCCCCAAAAAAACCCCCAATGATGATACAGGCATGAGCAGTTTGACCGCAGCAGTGTGATCAGTTACTGGTGCTGGGATCACACAGGGCCCAGGTGGATGAGGACGAGGAAGAAGAGGAGGAGGAGGAGGAGGGGGAAATTCCAAGTTCTAAGGTCAAACTGAGGTCTCCAGGCTGTGGAAGGGGCTCCCGGGCTCGGGGAAGCTGAACTCGCTGTCCACGGCGTTGTTGTTCCTGTTGAGGGCCGTGGAGCCCCCCAGGCCGCCCCCACCTCGCTTTTGGAGTCCCTCAGGCTCGGGCTCGTCTTCGGCGCCGTCAAGGAATGGTGTCCGAGGCTCGTCTTCCTCCAGGATGAACTCTGGGTGAGTCATGAAGTTATGGATGGAGCTTCTGGATTCGGGTTTCTCGAGGCCTTCGTAGAGCGAGCTACGGAACGCATTCACCACTTTGATCTGGGCGGGCGTGGGGAGAAAAAACAAGAGGTCAGTGGTGCTGCCAGAGGGCAGGGCTGGAGGGAGAAAGTGAAATAAATGATGAGAGACAACCACCAAACAACGAAAAAAAAAGAAAACAACGGCACGACCACAGCGACAAAATCACCACTGAACAGACAGCTCGGTCAAAAATGAGACATCTACGGTGAACTGGGGGCAGTCAGGCACTACGGGGGTGCTGGGGAGCCACCAGCCTCAGAAGCTGCAAGAAAAGACAAAGGACGACTCCAAACCTCCCCCCCAACATCACCAGTCTGGATGGATGGAAGCCACGAGGCGTTAATTAGTCATTAATTGGTGTGGGGGGTGCGCGCGCCCCGCGGTGGACGGACGGACGGACACGAGGACAAGGGACGGACGAGGTGGGGGAACTACGGCTCCAAAGGAGGTGGGTTAGGCAAAGAGCAGGGGGAACTCTACTGGGGGAGGGTCCTTCCCACAGCTCTGCAGGGGGATGGGGCTTCCAAAGGTGTCTCCAGCTCTTCTGGAGCTCCTGGAGCAGATCCAGGTGGGTGCTGTGAGGATCCAGGTGAAGGTCCAGGGCTCTCTGGAGCTTTCCCTGAACCTGCAGGAGACCCAGTGGTTTCCAAAGGCAGTTAAAATGGGAATTTGTTGGAGCTGGAGACCAATTCAGACTCTGTTGGATATTCTGAAGGAATTCCTTCACATTCCTGGGAAAGCTCCACCGAAATCCAGGCTCAAGGAGGAGATGAGAGCACCAGGACATGGCTCTGCCACCTCCCCTGCACTGGGAGGGAGAGCTCTGGGAACACACCTGGACATTGGAATCCCTCCAGATCCTCTGGAATTCCAGCCCCAAACCCTTCCAGCTCACAGGTCTGGGCTCAGGGCGGTGACAAGTGTCACAAGTGTCACTCCCAGCCCTGCTGGGGTTCCAGGGAAGCAATGGAAGCCTCAGCTCTGTGGAGCAGAGCTCGTGTGGGAGCAGATCTCCTGTCCCAGACCCCTGGGAGCAGCAGGGAAGGCTCCCTGGAACAATTTCAGTCTTTGGCCCCATGGAAGGAGCTTTGCATGAGCCTGGAGCACCACTGGCCTGGAAAAACGGGAATTTGAGGGAGCTGGGAACCAATTCTGAGCTGGATTTGTGCACTGATGACCTTGGATCAATTCAGGTGAACGCATGGGACAAGGGACACCACCGGGGCCACCTCATCTGTCACATCAGCCACGACTTGAGATCAGCAAATCCTGAGCTCTAAAACAACAACTGAACCAAGGAGAAGGAATCCAACCAAGCCAAGGACAGCCCAGGGACTGCCAGAACCACGAGGAGGTGGCCAAGAAGACCCAGGAACTGTCAGAACCACGAGGAGGTGGCCAAGGACAGTCCAGGGACTGTCACAGCCACAAGGAGGTGGCCAAGGAGACCCAGGGACTGTCACAGCCACAAGGTGGTGGCATCTACAATTCAGATTTAGGAGCAGCTCCACAGAAGCCTCCCCCTCTCACGTGAGATCTCTCCCAAGGAATCACCTCCAGAGCCCTGGAGATTTGTCCAGCACTGCCAGGAGCAGCAGGAGAAGCTCCCTGGAGCAATTCCAGGGATTCTGTGCTCAGTCTCCAGCTCAGCCCCCTCAAGCAGCTCCTGCTGCAGCTTCCCTCAGCCTTTCCTCCCTTCTCCATCACCTGCTGCGAGATGAATTCAGCTGTTCCCTCTCAAAGGAAGGGAACAGGGAGGAAATGTGTTCTGAATGAGGCAGGGAGCCCAGCAGAGCTGAATTCCAGCCTGGAGCCTCCCCTCCCTCCTTCCCTCCCTCCCACGGCCGGCTCCTCCCGCCTCCTCTCCACCTGGAAGCTTCAAATGCAACCTCCAGGCTTGGGATCGATTCCTGTGAAACGTGAAACCTCCACGTGCTGCGTGAGAGCCCCTTGGCAATGCCACCCCGTGCCCTGGCTCTGCCCAGCCCCTCAATCCAGGGCACAATTCCCAGCAGGAGCAGCTGGGCTCTGCCAAAACCTGCCCATGGATCCCTGAGAGCTCCCCACACAGCAAACCCAACCCTGGAAAAACTCATCCACGGGAGAAGAGACACCACAGATCTGCGTGGAGGGAAGAGGAGCTTTGGGAGAGAGGGAAGCAGCAGAGGGAAACAAGAGAAATCCAGGCAAGAAAACAGCAGGAGATTTGGAGACCTGGGTTAGCTCCTGGGGAAGTTTGCACGAGCTATCCAAGTTTTCTATTCCCTCGCTGCAAAATGGGGGGAAAACGTGGATCCACAGACTGCAAAAAAGCTGCATTTTGGTCTCCTCCCCACCCCTGCTCTGAGCCCCTCTGAGCAGATTTCATTCCATCAGAAAATCCTGGAGGTTTTCCCAGATGCAGGCGGGAGCAGGAGGCAGCTGTGCTGCTCCAGCATCGCTGGGGTTAAACCCAATCAGCTGCCAGCCTCAGAGTCAGCTAAACAGAGAGAAAACAAAATTATCCCAAATTCTCTCTCCTCCCCCACAGTGCATAAACAGCAGAGCCTGAAAGCTCTCCAGAAAGTCACCGAGGGTATTTCTCTAATCAGAGGAGAACGGGGATAAGTGAGTGTGCAATAAAAAAGCCAATTATCCAGCAGAGCCACACTCCCTGCTCCCAGCCTGCAGACACAACCCACGGCCACGTGCTCACCAGCCCCAACACCCCACACACAGAGGGTTCTACATCACACAGGGCCTTTTTTGGGGGGCTGGAAAGCCTGGATCCAGAATTCCCATTGATTTGTGGCCTCCGTGCCCATTTCCATGTACAGTTGTGTGTCTGCACACCCTGAGACCCTGAATGTGCAGAGCAGCCTGATGAACAGAGAAAGAGCCCTGCACCAAACAGGGCCATTTTTAGGGTGTGGAGACCCAGTGTCAGATCCAGAACTCAGAATTCCCACTGGGATTCTGCAGGAATTGTTTTCCATGCACAGTTGTGTATCTGCACATCCTGAGATCCAGCATGTGCAGAGCAGCCTGTGATGAACACAGACAGGGCCTCTTTTTAGGGTCTGGAGACCCAGTGTCAGATCCAGGACCCAGAATTCCCACTGGGATCCTGCAGGAATTGTGTTCCATGCCCATTTCCATGCACAGTTGTGTATCTGCACACCCTGAGATCCAGCATGTGCAGAGCAGCCTGTGATGAACAGAGAGAGAGCCCTGAACCAGACAGGACCTTTTTGGTGGTCTGAAAACCCAGTGTCAGATCCAGGACCCAGAATTCCCACTGGGATCCTGCAGGAATTGTGTTCCATGCCTTTTTTAGGGTCTGGAGACCCAGTGTGAGATCCAGGACTCAGAATTCCCACTGGCATCCAGCAGGAATTGTTTTTCATGCCCATTTCCATGCAGAGCAGTGTCTGCACACCCTGGGATCCAGAGTGTGCAGAGCAAGGTGGGCACTGAGGATCCTCTGGCTGCCCAGGGCAGCACAGGGATGTCCCCAGGCCATGCAAGTCCCCAGGTGGGGACAGAGAGGGGGACAGCAGCCCCGAGGTGTCACCAGCTGAGCCACAGGCAGGAGCAAATCCTGTTTGTCCCTCCTTGCTGTGGCTCAGCCAGCCTTGGGGACAGTCCCAGCGGCCACTCTGCCTCCAGAAGAGATTTCAAGCAACTCCTCTGCCCATCCCTGGGGTGTCCCAGGGCTGGGCAGAGGGAAGAACCAGCAGAATTTGGGCTCAGCCTTGCCCTCCTCCCAGCAATGCTCGTGAACTTGGGGGGCTTGAGCAAGAACTGCAATTTTGGCTCACCCTCAGGAGGGTGGACACAAACACCAGCCCTGCAGAGGAGGAGAAGAGGTAAAACTGGATGAAGCAACAAGGAACTGCGGGGGGAAAGGACCAGAAACGTTCATAATTTTGTTAAAAATCGGGATTTTGAAGGGTTTCCCGCCCCATCCTTCAGGTTTGGGACTGAGTGTGCGAGTCAAGGCTGAGAGGGAGAGAGAGCAGGCGGGGTTAGGGGGGTGCAGGTGCTCTCTGTGCTCATTAAATCATGCATTGTAATAGACCATCACTCACTGCCCGCAGGAGGAGATGCAGCAGCAGCAACAGCAGAAGTGGTGGGAGTGGAATTGACGGAGGAAAGAGCTACATGGGTTGGGCTAGAAACATTTTTTACATCGTGGTGCTGGCTCACGATGGAAGGCTGTCTCCTGAGGGCTCCCTGCAAAGAGGAGGCGCCGGTCTGGAATGTGTAAACTACGTCCATCTGCAAAGAACCAGAGAGTGAGATAGCGACACCCGGCCAGAAACAGGGACAGGGACAGGGCCAGGGGACAGGGGAGGGCGGGCAGACACACAGACAGCAAGGAAAGAGGAGGATGGAGAGGCGAGGAAGAGGAGGAGGAGGAAGGAGGAAAGAGCCCACCCCGCACTCCCCCGAAACCCACGTGGGGTTTTGCTGTTGGAGCAGAGAGAGAGTCCAGCTCTGCCCTTCCCAGAGCAGCAGGGTCAATCCCCCCTGTGGTGGGAGGCAGTGGCAGAGGAGACACCTGGGGGTATCCAAAAATCTGCAGGAGGAGCAGAGAGAGACAGAGAGAGTGGGCAGAGTGCGAGTGGGAAGGGCTCCTGGTGCCTCAGCCCTGTGGGGCACTTTGGGGACGCTCCACGGGCTCCCCACAGCCCCCGTGGCAGCAGGAGATGTCCCAGCCCCTCTCCCAGGCCTCAGGGCTGCTGGGGGTGCAGCACCTGGTGGTGGGGCCGTGGTTGTCCTGTGGATGTGTCTCAAGGCTTGAAGAACTGAGCAGCTTCCTGGGCACTTTGTGGCTGGGTGATGCCAACGCTGTGGCACCTTCTGGGCACCGCCTCCAGCCCCAGCTCTGGCTGAGCAGGTGTTTCACAGGTGTTTCACACACAGCTTCACTCCTGCCCCACTCTGATATCCCTCTTCTCACCTGTGTCCTTTTCACACACCCCAAATGAGGACAGGAGCACCCCAATGCCAGGTTGGACCCCACAGACGCTCCAGGACGTGCCAGCACCCATTTCTCACCTGGCAGGAGCTCATCCCAGCTCCAGCACAGGGAAACACCCGGGAAGCTCCAGGCTCAGCCCAGGGGCACCTCTGGCACTGCAGCCCTGCAGAGCTCCCGGATTTCCAGCACATCTGCACCACTGCCAGGAGAGCCTGGATGCTCCCAGCGCGTTCCTCAGGTCAGAGAAGCTCTGGTTACCCCCACACAGAGCCCAGCTGCCCCTCAGGGCTCACAGCCAGCCAGGAACCGAGGCTGAGCTTCACCTTGAGGCCAGAGGTGACACTGTGGAGGTGACAGCTCAGAGAAGGGAAGTTAACTCTGCCCCAGCCCCTGTCCCCGTTGGTTTGTCACAGAGGAGGGACAGAGGTGACCCAGCAGCTCTGCCTGCCTGGGGACACCAGGATTCCCTCCATGGGACAGCTCTGCCCTGGCCTCCAGGGAAATGAGGGGCACAGAGCTCTCCCTGCTTGGTGGAAAAAAAGGAAAAATCAGAGAAAAAAGTCAGGGAGAACCAAGAGATGTAAAAAGAAGACTGAGAGATTTTCTGTCCTTGTGTGCTGTGGTGGTGAGCTCTGGGTGTGGAGCACGGGGACGTGGCACAGAGGGGTGGCACAAGGAGCCACACCAGGGAACAGCACATTCCCACTGGGAACAGCCTCCCAGCAGCCAGCAAGAGCAGGGCACAGCCTGGGGGGCTCCATGCACCCCTCACAGCCTCCTGTGCTGCAGAGGTGACCATCAGTGGCACGTCCAGCCTCCTGCTGACCAGCAGCACAGTGCCTGCAGCAGAACAGCCTCCCACCACCCCCAGCTGTCCCAAAATCCAAGTTTATCCCGGTCCCAGCTGTCCCAAAACCCAGGTTATCCTGGCTCCCTGCAATGGCACAGGTAGAACCTGGCCCAGGAGGCGGTGACATCCTGCGAGCACCATCTGTCACCTCTGTGCAGACACAACCCCTGCATGGGGACAGAGAGAGGAGCAGACACAGCAGGCAGAGCCCCCCCAGCCCTGCTGCCCCCCAGTACCTGGGTCTGGATCCTGTTGAGGCCCCGGAACCACAGGATCTGCCCCCGCCGCAGCTCCATCTCCGCGTGGTCGATCTCGTCCACGTCCTCGGGCAGCTCCTCCTCGGGGATCTCCTCCTTGGTGATGCCATGCCCAGCCTCCTTCAGGAACTTCAGGTGGCTCGTTGGCACGGTGCAGATCAGCTGGGGACAGGCAGGGACACAGCAGGGACTTAGCCTGAGGCCCTGGGGATGCCTCAGGGTTAACTTTTATATTTTTTAGATTCTGAGCTGCTTTCATGTGTGGGTCTGTGCTTTGTAGTAAGGGTTGGTGAGCTCTGAGAACAGAGTAGGGAGAGAAAACAATTCCTTCTCTATGATCTAAATTTCAAATTATCAAAATCTCTGGCCCAAAAGCATTAAAAACATGGGCTGAAGAGAGAAACAAGGATGGGACTTCATAACTTGAAGCTGTAATTGGACAATTAACTCCAATATGCAAATGGAGCAGAACTTATAAAAGTGAGACACCTCACTTATAGAAGTGAGAGGAAGCAGCTAAAGGACTTTCCACTAAACTCCTTTTGTTCCCTTTCCTTTTCCCCTTTCCTTTTCCTTTTCTCTTTCCTTTTCTTTGTCCATTTTGTGACCATTTTGGGTTCATCTTGGGTTCATTTTGTGACCATTTTGGTTCATCTTGGGTGCAGCCCTGGCTGGGCTCTTGCGCTGCCCAACGTGAATACACTGAGGAGATCCTTTTAATAAATCCCTGCTTTATTCTTTAGCTCTGTCTAGTCCCTGCTCTAGCTCAGCCTTCTCAAGGCCTCAGCTGCAGTGCCACCAGCCCAGGGGACACCAGGAATGTCCCTGTCACTCTGGGTGTGTCCCTCTCCTGCTGCTGGGCTGGGGAGGGGCATCAGCCCCTTCTTAAAAACCTTCCTAAAGAGCTGCCCTGGAGAAAAACCAGGGAGAACAAGGGCAGGGATGAAAAGACAGGCCAGGATTTTGGGGCTGGCCCTTACCTGGCCCCACAGGAGCTCTCCCACTCCAATGAAAATGCACCAGAACCACTGGGTCAGGGTGAGCCCAGAGCAGCTGAAGGGCTTCCCACCAAACTCCACGATGATGATCTGCAGCACAGGAGACAAGAGTCACACCTGGGCATGGAAAGGTCCCCTTGGGCCACACCTTTCCCTCTCTCCTGGGATTACAAGAGGAGCAAGGACCTCACATCCAGGCTGGGAATTTTGTGGGACACCAGAAGGAAGCAGGGACCTCATATCCAGGCTGGGATTTTGGGTTTTTAATCCATCCCATAGATTTGGACAAAATCAGAGTTTCCATGGTCTGGAAGCAATCTCAGTGGAATAACCCATGGAGCAAAGTGGAACCCATGTGGAATAACCCATGGAGCAAAGTGGAATAAACCATGGAATAACCCATGTGGAATAACCCATGGAGCAAAGTGGAATAACCCATGGAGAAAAGTGGAAGCCATGGAATAACCCACATGGAATAACCCACGGAGCAAAGTGGAATAACCCGTGGAATAACTCACGTGGAATAACCCATGGAGCAAAGTGGAATAACCCACATGGAATAACCCATGTAGAATAACCCATGTGGAATAACCCATGGAACAAAGCGGAAGCCACAGAATCTCAGTGGAACAAAGCAAAACCCCCGGGCTGGGGTCACCTGGGCGAAGAAGGTGCCCAGCACCACGGAGCAGAAGATGGGGTTGCGGTAGATGCCCTCGAAGACGTTCCTCTCGCCGTGGATCTTGCGCGCGTTGATCTCGTTGAAGAGCTGCATCATCACGAAGGTGTTGAAGACAATGGTGTAGTGCTCGGTGGGGGGAGAGTGCAGGGGCGCGTTCCGGCCGCTGTCGATGTCGAAAAACTTCTCCCCTGAGCAGGAGAAAAAAAGAGGATTTGGGGAAGGGAAGATGTGGGAGAGGTTTTACAGCATTTCTGAGAGACAGAGAGAAGGTTGAGAAGAGGATCTGTGTTTACACCGAATGAATTTTCTACCAAAGTCGTTGTCATAGAATGACCAAAATGTCCCAAAACAGAAACCAAGAAAGAAAGAAAAACCATTAGAAACAAACAAAGAAAGAAAAACCAATAGAAACCAAGAAAGAAAGAAAAAACAATAGAAACCAAAAGAGAAAAACCAACAGAAAAAACCAATAGAAACCAAGAAAGAAAGAAAAACCGTTTCCTTTTCCCCTTTCCCTTTCTTCCCTTTTCCCTTTTCTTTTCCTTTCCTCCTTTTCCTTTTCCTCCTTTTCCCTTTCCCTTTCCTTTTCCTTTTCCTTTTTTCCTTCCCCTCTCCTTTTCTCCTTTCTTTCTCCCCTTTTCCCTGTCCTTTTCCTTTTTCCCTTTCCCCCTTCCCTTCTCCCCTTTCCCTTTCCTTTTTTTCCCTTTCCTTTTTCCCCTTTCCATTCCCCCTTCCCCTCTCCCCTCCCCTCCCTCCCAGGACGCTCTGGCACTGCAGCTGACCTGCGAAGAGCAGGGTGAAGATGATGGTGAGCTGGTAGACGGCGTGGCCCAGGATGTTTTTCATCATGGTGCGGGAGATGAGCGGCTTGTTGCGCCCGTAGGGTTTGCGCAGCAGCAGCGACTCCGACGGCGGCTCCGTGGCCAGCGCCAGCGAGGCGAACGTGTCCATGATCAGGTTCACCCACAGCATCTGCACGGCCTTCAGGGGCGAGTCCTGAGGGGGAGAACGTGTCATGCCACCAAAATAAACCTTTGTTCTTTCTTTGTTCTGCTCTCCTCCTGAAAACCTCTGCAAAATTGCTCTTGGGTACTCAACACCTTCCTAAAACATTCCCAAATATTTCTCCTTTTCTCCATGGCCTTCAGGGGAGAGTTCTGGGGGCGAGAAAAGTCACACCACCAAAATAAACCTTTGTTCCCTCTTTGTTTCACTTTCCTCCTGAAAACCTCTCAAAAATTGCTCTTGGGTACTTAACACCTTCCTAAAACATTCCCAAATATTCCTCCTTTTCTCCATGGCCTTCAGGGGGGAGTCCTGGTGGTGAGAACAGTCACACCACCAAAAAAATCCTTTGTTTCCTCTGTGTTTCACTTTCCTCCTGAATAGAATTCCAGAATTGCTCTAGGGTATTTAACGCCTTCCTCAAACATTCCCAAAAATTTCTCCTTTTCTCCATGGCCTTCAGGGGGGAGTCCTGAGGGGGAGAACAGTCATGCCACCAAAATAAACCTTTGTTCCTTCTTTGTTTCGCTCTCCTCCTGAAAACCTCTCCAAAATCACTTTTGAGTACTTAACACCTTCCTAAAACACCCCTCAAGATATTTCTTCTTTTCTCTAAGACCTCCCATGTCCCACCCGCCCAGCTGAGCTCACCTGGGTGATGCAGGCACCAGTGAAGGCCACGATGATGCCACCACCATGTCTCATACCCACCCAGGTGACATCCCCCATGTCCCACCCGCCCAGCTGAGCTCACCTGGGTGATGCAGGCACCGGTGAAGGCCACGATGACGGCCACCACGTTGACGGTGAGCTGGAACTGCAGGAACTTGGAGATGCTGTCGTAGACGTTGCGGCCCCACATGACGGCCTTGACGATGCTGGTGAAGTTGTCGTCGGTCAGGATGATGTCCGAGGCCTCCTTGGCCACGTCCGTGCCCGCGATGCCCTTGGGGACAAAGCCAGGGGTGAGGCACGGCCCTGCCTGGCTCTGCTGCCTGCCAGGGATGTGCCCAGCAGGAAAAGCCCCTGGAGATGGTGCCAATCCCTGCTTGGCAGGGCCAGAGCTCCAGAGCTGTCGGGGACAGGCTCTGAGGCTGCCCAGCTTTCCCAGACAGGGCCACAGTGCAGAAAAGATGGGATACAGCTGGGAAAACACCAGGAAACAGATAGAAAACAGCCAGAAACCAGCTGGGAAACAACCAGGAAAATGCCAGGAAACAGATGGAAAACAGGCAGGAAAACAGAGAGGAAACAGCTGGGAAAACGCCAGGAAAAAAGCTGGAAATGTGCTGGGAAAACACCAGGAAAGAGCTGGAAACCAGCCTGAAACCAGCTGGGAAATAAACAGGAAATAGCCAGAAAACAGCTGGAAAACAGCTGGGAAAATGCCAGGAAACAGACAGGTAAGAGATGGAAAACTGACAGGAAAACAGACAGAAAACAGCTGGGAAATAGCTGGAAAACAAACAGGAAAATAGACAGGAAAACAGCCAGAAAACAGACAGGAAAATAGACAGGAAAATAACTGGAAAACAGACAGGAAACAACTGGGAAACGGTTGGAAAAAAGCCGGAAATCTGATGGAAAACAGCTAGAAAAATGCCAGCAAACAGCTGGAAAATAGACTGGAAAACAGCTGGAAAACAGACAGGAAAACAGCTGGAAAACAGGCAGGAAACAGCTGGAAAACAGCTGGGCAACAGCTCCCTCCTCATTCCAGGATTGGCTCCATCCCGGGCTGGGCACCTCTGCTGGAGCCCAAGGGAGGGAGAGCTCAGCCCAGAGGTTTCTGCCCTCGCCCAGGCTGAGAACAGCCCTGCAGCTTCCCCAAAATCCCCAAAAATTCAAAAAATCCCTGTCAGGATCTCCAGGGCAGCGGGTCAGGCTGCGTTTCCCGGAGCCGGCACAGCGAGGCGCTCGCCCCGCAGGAATTCCATGCAGGAATTCCGAGCCCTGCCCAAAACGAGCCCATTCCCGGATTCCCCAGATCCCAACCCCTCCTCAAAGGGGAAATCCCCGCCTGCTGCAGGGCATTAGGGTTTAGGGTTTAGGGGAACAGCTTTCCCTGCTTCTGGAATTGCCTTTGGATGTTCAGCACAATCCTAAAAACACTTCCCAAAAATCTCTCATTTTCTCCCCACCCAGCTCCTGCTCATGTCTCTAAATTAATCCCCAGAGAACCTGTTAAAAACAACAGGTTAATTTCCCTGCTCCTTTCAGACAGGATAAAAAGGCATCAAACCAGAGTTTTCCACCATAAATCAATTCCCAAAGGCTGATCCAGCACTGTGCCTGGAATTGGGGTGAAAAGCTGCAGGAAAAACCAAATCCTGGGGCTCCCATGGCTCTCCGGGATCCAGCAGAGACACCAGGACAGGGCAGGTCCAAGGAATTCCCAACCCCTTTCTCACAGCCCTACACAGCTCAAACTCAAACCCAACACCCTAATAAAATCCCTTTTTGGGTTTTTGACCATCCCACAGATTTGGATCAGAGTTCCCATGGTCTGGAAGCAATCCCATGGAAAAAAGGAAAACCCCCAGGCTGGCCCTACCATGGCAAACCCAACATCTGCTTTCTTCAGGGCTGGGCCATCGTTGGTGCCATCCCCTGTCACAGCCACCACCTGCCTCTGGTCACCCACGGTGCTGTCGATGATTCCTGTGGTGGAAACGAGAAATTGAACCCCAAGGGAAGGATCCCAGCCTGGATCAGGCTGGAAAAACTCCAGGGAGGAGCCCCTGGAGAGGGGCAGTGCCCACCTTTCACCAGGGTGTGCTTGTCTGTGGGGGAGGAGCGCGCCAGCACCCGCAGCTTGGGCCAGATCTTGTCCAGCTGCTCCTGCTCCACCTGCAGGACCAGGAAAAGGGAAATGATTCCATGCCAGGGATCTTCTGTCCCACCAGAGAGCAAATCCCAGCTGGGACGGGACAGAGGCTTCACCCCAAACGCTGCTGAGCAACCCAGCAGCTTCCTGATGCAAGGGAATGAGGGAAATCCAGCGGGATTTGGGAAAGACATCAGGATTTGGGAAACCCAGCAACATTCTGAAAACCCAGCAGGATTTGGGAAATTCAATAGGATTTGGGAAACTCAGCAAGATCCTGAAAAGCCAGCAGGATTTGAAAAACCCATTGGGATTTGGAAAATCCAGCATGATCTGGAAAACCCATGAGGATTGGAAAAACACATCAGGATTTGAAAAATCCAGCAGGAAATCTGGAAAATCCAACAGGATCTGGAAAACCCAGCAAGATCCGGAAAACCCATCAGGATTTAGGAAACCCATCCAGATTTGGGGAACCAAACAGGATTTAGGAAACCCCTTGGGATTTAGGAAACTCATCAGGATTTAAGAAACCCCTCAGGATTTGGGAAATCCCTCAGGATTTAGGGAACCCCTCAGGATTTAGGAAACTCCTCAGGATTTGGGAAATCCCTCAGTATTTAGGAAACCCCTCAGGATTTAGGAAACCCCTCAGTATTTAGGAAACCCCTGAGGATTTGGGGTTTTGCAGCTGTCCCACCTCTCCCTTCTCGTTGCGGATCAGGCGGTTGAACTCCTTCCCCTCGAGGCACAGGAAGTCCTCCCCGGGCAGCAGGATGCCACACTTGGTGGCGATGGCACGGGCAGTGTTGATGTTGTCCCCTGTCACCATGCGGACGGTGATGCCGGCGCGCTGGCACTTCAGGATGGCATCGGGCACCTGGGGACAGGGACAGCGATGGGGTTGGCACTGGGGACACCGGGAGTGAGGCGGCTCCTCGTCCCTAAAAGGGTCTGGAGAGGGCTCTGGAGGGTGAGGGAGCTGCATCTGCCACCCCAAAGGGAAGGGACCTCAATGCCACCTTGCTGTCACCTCACTGTCACCTCCCTGGGGCTGCATCTGCCACCCCAAAGGGAAGGGACCTTGCTGCCACCTCGCTGTCACCTTGCTGTCACCTCCCTGGAGCTCCCATGGCTCTCCTGGATGCAGGAGAGACATCAAGACAGGGCAGGTCCCTGCTCCAGAGAATTCCCAACCCTTTGCTCACAGTCCCACACAGCCTTTCCTCCCTTTCAAAAGGAAGGGACCTTGCTGTTACCTTGCTGCCACCTCACTGTCACCTTGCTGTCACCTTCCTGGGGCTCCCATGGCTCTCCTGGATCCACCACGAGAGACACCAGGACAGGGCAGGTCCCGGCTCCAAAGAATTCCCAACCCTTTGCTCACAGTCCCACACAGCCTTTCCTCCCTTCCAAAGGGAAAGGACCTCACTGCCACCTCACTGTCACCTCGCTGTCACCTCCCTGGATGACAAGGCATGGCCAGGCCGTCCATAAAAGCAGGAATTTTTTTCATCCCCTTCCACCCCACTAATGGGTTTATCCATCAGGGAAGAGAGGAAATTGGAGTGAGCAATGAGCAAATCGAATCAGGAGCCTCCAGAGCTGCTGCAGCCGGGGGATGTGTAATGCAATTCCCAGATTGCCAGATCCCTGAACATCTCATCAGGGACCAGGGGAGCAGGGGGAGAGCTCCAGACTGCATCCAGAGGCAGGGATGGGGCATTATTGCATTAGCCCAGCACACAGCTCAGAGGGAAAACCAGCTCCAGGAGCACAGGGATTCTTCCTGGCTGTTTCCATCCACCTTTGGTGCAGCACAGACCCCAAGGATTGGGAATTTTGGGTGGGAACACAATGCCATGGTGTTGTTTTGTCCAAAAATGGGAGAGAAATGCCCACAGCAGGGATGGGCACAGAGGAGCTGCTGGAATTCCTTGGGGGCAAAGCAGAGAGAGCTGCTGGGATTCCTTGGGGAAATATCAGGGATGGGCACAGAGGAGCTGCTGGAATTATTTGGGGGAACATCAGGGATGGGCACTGGGGAGCTGTGCATGTGGTGACAGGAATGTGCTGAGTGGTTTTTGGGTGGATGTTCCTTGGGGAAACACCAGGGATGGACACAGGGGAGCTGCTGGAATTTCTTGGGGAAACTTCAGGGATGGGCACAGGGAAACTGGTGGAATTCATTGGGGTACAGCAGGGATGGGCACAGGGGAATTGCTGGAATCATTTGGGGGCACAGAGGAACTGCTGGAATTCACAGAATCACAGAATAATGAGGTTGGAAGAGACCTCTAAGATCAACGAGTCCAACCTCTGCCCTAACACCTCAACTAGACTAATCCACCAAGTGCCATGTCCAGTCTTTTTTTAAACACATTGGGGACACAGAGGAGCTGCTGGAATTCCTTGGGGAAACATCAGGGATGTGAACAGGGGAACTGCTGGAGTTCCTGAGGGGATCCCAGCCCAGAGCAGCAGGAAAAGGGGCAGGAACAGCCCAGGCCAGGGGGGGTTTGGTACCTCCGGCCGCACGGGATCCTCAATCCCCACCACAGCAATGCAGGTCAGGTCAGACAGGATCTCACTCTCGTTGTCCCAGTCGGGCTCTGCACCCGCAGGGAAGTCCCGGAATGCCAGGCAGATGGTCCTGAGGCCGTGGCAGGCCATGGGCTCGATCACCTTCTTCACCATCTCGTCCCTGTCCTTCACCTTGAACACGCGCGGCTCGCCGTTCTTGTCCAGGATCTTGGTGCACCTGAGGGGACACGGAGGTGAGTGAGGCATTGTCACATTCCTGGTACCCCTTCCACAAAAAAAGGGGCTGTTCCTTTTTCACAGCCCACTTCAGATTTCCTAAATCCACCCAAAAAATGCTCAACACATTCCTGTCATCCCATCTATAGAAGGGACACACCCCCCTTCCACAGCTCCCTCCAGATTTCCTAAATCCATCCAAAAACCACCCAGTACATTCCTGGCATCCCATCTACAAAAAGGGGCTTGTTCCTTTTTCATAGTCCCTTCCAGATTTCCTAAATCCATCCAAAAACCACCCAGCACATTCCTGCCACCACATCCACAAAAAGGGGCACATTCCCCTTCCACAGCTCACTCCAATTTTCCCAAACCCACCCTAAAAACACTTTGCACATTCCTGGCACCCCATCCACAAAAAAGGGGGCATTCCCCTCCCACAGCTCCCTCCAGCTTTCCCAAATCCACCCACAAATTCACTCAGCACATTCCTGGCACTCCATCTACAAAAAGGGGCTGTCCCTTTTCCACAGCCCCCTCCAACTTTCCCAAACTCATTCCTGGCACCCCATCTGGACACCCCCTTTCCCTCCAGCTTCCCCAAGCCTCACTGGGCACCTCCCAGCACCCACCCCATGCCCCCTTGCCCCGTGGGATGCCCAGGGATGCCCGGGGCTGGGGCAGCAGCAGGATTTACTTGCGCAGGATGATCTCGGAGGCGCCCTTGCTGTACATGCGGAAGCCGCCGCCACTGTTCCTCAGCACGGTGCTCATGGACTTGCGCACCGAGTTGAAGGTGTAGACCTGATTTGTGGGGGGCAAAACCCAAAACTTAACTCCACAACTTGTAAAAATTGTAAAGCTGGTGTGTTTATTACTGCCCTGAATGTGTGTGGGGTTGTTCCTCCTAAAGGACACCCCAGAGAATTCCTGATCCTTTTTTATCCCCCTTTCTTGTACATATGCACAGAGTTTCACAACAGGTTTATGTATATTCATTATAGGGTCATATAGGTTCTATAGGTCCTATTCATTATAGGTTTATGTATATTCATTATAGGTCCATATAGGTTCTATAGGTCCTATTCATTATAGGTTTATGGATATTCATTATAGGTTCATCTAGGTTCTATAGGTCCTATACATTATAGGTTTATGTATATTTATTATAGGTCCATATAGGTTCTTTACGTCCTATACATTATAGGTTTATGTATATTTATTATAGGTCCATATAGGTTCTTTAGGTCCTATTCATTATAGGTTTATGTATATTCATTATAGGTTCATATAGGTTCTATAGGTCCTATTCATTATAGGTTTATGTATATTCCTTATAGGTTCTATAGGTGCTATACATTCTAGGTTTATGTATATTCAATATAGGTTCATACAGGTTCTATAGGTCCTATTCATTATAGGTTCATGTATATTCATTTTACTGGTTTTGTGTTACAACTTGTACAGAGATTTCTCTGGTCACTCTGTCTCTTGCAGCTTCAGCTTTGGTTCTCACATTTGTTTCAAAGTTCAAGGGGCCCCTCTTATTTCCCTTTTTAGTTTGGGAGTTCCCATTCTTTTTCCTTAGCTGAGGCAGTTTTGACAGCACAGCAGAGTTAACAGCCCAAACAAGTTAAAACAGCACATTTCATCTATGCTAGCAAGCTCCAGACTTAATAATTCACCTAAATCCAAAATGGATTTCTACTCTAATAAATTTCTACTCTGTTCCAGACCTTGTAGAGCTTCTCCTCGGGCACCTCGTTGCGCACAGCCTGGTAGTCCTGCTTCAGGTCCAGCACGAAGCCCAGCAGGGCACACTCAGTCTTGTTGCCCACCTGGCGGGGCAGCCCCCCTTCCTTCTCTGGTGGCTGCAAAAAGGAGGGGGAAGTGATGAAGGATGCCAAACCCGGGTGTAGAGCAGGGTGGAATGATGAAATGATGGATGGAAGGATGGACAGAACGATGGATGGATGGATGGATGGATGGATGGATGGATGGATGGATGGATGGATGGATGGATGGAACAATGCCTTAAGTTTAAGCTTTTGTATTTTCCAGACTCTGTACTGCATTAGGATATAACTCTGAACTTCATATGTTCTTCTCACAGCTCAGTCACACCAAACAATCCTTTTCCAGCCCCAGAACCAAGGACCCCACTGCAGCTTCGGCCCCAAAAAGTGCAAACAACAGGAAATTGAGGAGAGCAAATTAGGAGGATGGGAATGCTGTGACTGGACAATTAACCTCAATATGGAAATGGACCAAAACTTATAAAAGTGTGAAAACTCGTGACCAGGTGTCCTTCTTGGGGTGGAGCCATGGCTGGGCTGTTGTACTGTATCCTTGAAGATTCACCTTGGGCAGGTAGGACAGGGGACAAGGTGAGAGGACAGGGACAAGGTGAGGGGACAGGGACAAGGTGAGGGGACAGGGAGAGCCCTTCCCCACCACCTCTGAGGTCACTCTCACTATATTTAATAAACTTTATCCCTTTAACTCCATCCAGTCTGCGTTCCAGGTACCCTCCCAAGTCATCAGGATGCCCCAAAGCTCTGGTCCCACAGCTCACCAGGATCTTGGAGGTGTAGGCAGAGTTGATGGCCACGCCGTGGACGATGAGGTCCAGGGTTTTGGGCAGGATGGCCTCGGGGTCGGGGATCTGGCGGTAGTGGGTGTCCCCCACGTAGGCCTGCACCACGGTCATGCGGTTCATGGTCAGCGTGCCCGTCTTGTCCGAGCAGATGGCCGTGGCGTTGCCCATGGTCTCACAGGCGTCCAGGTGCCTCACCAGGTTGTTGTCCTTCATCATTTTCTGCAAGCAGAGAGAAGGTGAGGGCTGAGCTCACCCCTGTCACCCTTACAGAAAGTTGTCTGGGATAATGCGATTGATTTTGAAAAGTTTCAGTCCTGGTAGACTGCAGTAAATGTCACCTATGATCCTGCTTCTAATGTGGCCACTGCCTTTGTGCTTACCATACATAATGCCACTGTTTATGTTAAAAGGGGTTCAAAGGAGCAGCAACCACAGGATTGGGGAGTTCTGTTGGAGCTGGTGCTGCATTCAGAGGCCTGTGGGCCAGAATAAAGCTCTGGATCCAAACCCTCCATCAGAACCGACTCCTTTCCTTCACCATCGCCTCAAAGCTTCTCCACAGAGGGAAACCTGAGGAGCAGCCCCTGTTATGGGGGGAAGCTCCATCCCAGCACCACCAGAGCTCCTGCGGGCCTGGACTTGTCCCCACGGGCCCAACTGCAGCACCCAGCCAGCCCAAAGTGTCTGTGCGTGAAACACCACACATCCATTTAACCAAAAGTGTCTGTGGGTGAAACACCACACACCCAGCCAGCCCAAAGTGTCTGTGGGGTGAAACACCACACACCCAGCCAGCAAAATGTGTCTGTGGGGTGAAACACCACACACCCAGCCAGCAAAATGTGTCTGTGGGGTGAAACACCACACACCCAGCCAGCCCAAAGTGTCTGTGGGTGAAACACCACACACCCAGCCAGCCAAAAGTGTCTCTGTGTGAAACACCACACACCCAGCCAGCCAAAAGTGTCTGTGGGTGAAACACCACACACCCAGCCAGCCAAAAGTGTCTGTGGGTGAAACACCACACACCCAGCCAGCAAAATGTGTCTGTGGGGTGAAACACCACACACCCAGCCAGCCAAAAGTGTCTGTGGGTGAAACACCACACACCCAGCCAGCCAAAAGTGTCTGTGGGTGAAACACCACACACCCAGCCAGCCAAAAGTGTCTGTGGGTGAAACACCACACACCCAGCCAGCCAAAAGTGTCTGTGGGTGAAACACCACACACCCAGCCAGCCAAAAGTGTCTCTGTGTGAAACACCACACACCCAGCCAGCCAAAAGTGTCTGTGGGTGAAACACCACACACCCAGCCAGCAAAATGTGTCTGTGGGGTGAAACACCACAGTTGCCACAATTTGGCTCAGCAGCAGGGCCAGACAAGCTCAGGCAGTCCTGTCCACAATATTGGATTATTCATTGATAATTCCAGCAGTCCCTCCTCACCCTCAGGTCTCACCTTGACAGAGTAGGCCAGCGAGATGGTGACGGCCAGCGGGAGCCCCTCGGGCACGGCCACCACCAGCACGGTGACGCCGATGATGAAGAACTTGACGAAGTACTGGATGTAGATGGGGGTGCACTCGGCCAGCCAGGGCCGCTTCTGCACCCCGAAGGTGTCGATGACGAAGTAGAGCACCAGGATGATGACGGTGATGGCCGACATGATCAGCCCTGGGGACGAGGACGAGGTCAGGGGACACAGGGGACACAGGGGACATAGGGGACACAGGGGACAGGGTCAGCCCTTCCTCACCAGCTCCAGGGACACTGGGGACAAGCACAGCCCATCCCTATCAGCTCTGGGAAACTGGGGATGGGGACAAGGACGAGGTGAGGGGACACAGGGGACAGAGGGGACAGGGTCACCCCTTCCCCACCACCTCTGGGGTCACTGGGGATGGGGACAAGGATGAGATAAGGGGACACAGGACAGGGTCAGCCCTTCCCCACCAGCTCCTAGGTCACAGGGCACAGGGACAGCCCATCCCTATCAGCTCTGGGGTCACTGGGGATGGGGACAAGGACGAGGTCACGGGACACAGGGGAAAGGGTCAGCCCTTCCCCACCACCTCTGAGGTCACTGGGGATGGGGACGAGGATGAGATAAGGGGACACAGGACAGGGTCAGCCCTTCCCCACCAGCCCTGGGGACACTGTCACTGTCACTGTCACTCACCTGCCTTCCCAATCTGCACCGCCAGGCGCGTGAGCTTCCCCTGCAGCACCGACTTCTCCTTCTTGGGCACCTTCGCCTTCTTCTTCTCCTTCTCCTCGTTCTCCACCCCCTCCTGGCTCTTCAGGGGCTGGATCTCTAAGGCCACACCATCCTGAGTTTTAGCTACAGCCCGGGGGGGTAAAAGAAGACACCACGTGTGAACAGGAGAGCCCCAGGCCAGGCTGGAGGACACCACGGAGAAGGATGGTGGTGGCAGAGAGAGAGAGAGAGAGAGAAATCCAGGACAAGAACCACTCCCGAGCACACACGCGTCCGAGCACATGGAAGCTCCGTGTCCAGGGCCCTGCCACCTCTCTCTGGGGTGCTTTCCTGTCACTACCCCCTGCCCATGGATCAGGGGTCCTCAGGGGTGACTCTGGCACTGCCACACCTCTGCAAGAGACGCTCCAGGCCAGATTTTGGGGTCTCTTCCAGCCTCTAAGCCTGCAGAGGAATGGGAGGGCTTTGGGATGAGCCCAGAGATGCTCCAGTGCCCCCAGGTCCCCCAGTGCCACCTCTGCAGAGCCCTGTGGGCAGCCCAGCAGCAAGGGAGGGGGTGAGATGGAGGGGAAGGTTAGAAATTGGGATGGAGACTGAAGAGCAGGGAGCCAGGAATCCTCCAGTCCCAGCCTGGAGCCATCCACCTCTGGGACCTGAGACAGCCAAGCTTCCCCTTCCTAAAACTGGGCTAACCCAGCTGGAAGGCTGCCCTGGGCAAACGCAAGGCTGGCAGCTTTGGAGAGGGACGGGCAGCCCAGCAGAGGCTCCTCCTGAGCTGGTGTGGCCCCAAGGCCACCCTGGGACCTGTCCCCTCGTGGGCTGGAGGCCACCACGGTGACAAGAGACCCGACACGGACACAACAAAGCACGCGGACACAGCTGACTCAAGGAGGGCAACTCAAACTGCTGAGAGAGAGAGAAACAGAGAGAGAAACAGAGAAACAAACAGAGAGAGGGGTGGAGAGAGAGGTGCAGAAATGGGGCTTCCTCCACAGCCTGCAAAGAACAGGGTGAGAAACACTGGCGAGGAGACGCTCACGGAGTCGAGGCCATGGCAGGACAGGGTGCAAATGTCCCATGGGAGATCTCATCCCAGGAATGCCAGGAGGGCACCTCCAGCTCTGCCCTGAACGCCAACCCTGTGCAGGGACAGTTTAAAAATCACCAAATCCCTGCTGGGAGTCATGGAATTATCCCAAGGAAGGGATGCTCTGCCAGAAGTCCTCCCTGAAAAATGGCTTTTCCCCATGTAAGGACAATGGGAAGGTTCATCCCAGTAATGCCTCAGGATTTTAGCTTTTATCTTTTCCATACATTTATAATTCTGCAGCTCTTCAGTGTATAACTCTAAACTCCATATCAAGTGTGAGCTGCTGCTTTCCCATTTTTACACAATTCCTCTCCAGGCCTGGGAATCAAACACCTCACTGGTCAGCCCCCGAGAGATGGGAACAAAAGGGAGTTGGGGGAGAAAATTTGGGGTCAATGGTTTCATTACCTGAAGCTGTAATTGGAAAATTAACCCCCAATATCCAAACGAACCAAACTTATTAAAGTGTGAAAGCCCCGTGACCCGTGGTCCATTTTTGGGTGGGTTCCATCAGCCCTAAATGTACCTGAAGGCCCTTCAATAAATAAAATTGCTTTTTTTTCCCTTTGATTTGGTCTGGCCTCTGTTTTTGGGCAGTCCCAGCAAGGCACCCCCTGCCCTGGGTTGGGGTTTTGGGGACACCACGGGACCGTTGCACCCTGTCCTGGAGAAACGAGGCGAGAGTCCCGCCGGAGCAGCAAAGAGCACAGACTGATGAGGAGAAGGAAGGAAGGAGGAAGAAGAAGGAAGAAGGAGGAAGGAAAGAGGAATGCTTGGTAGTTAGTGTGGTGCTGTTCAAAGGATGGAGAGGCTGGCGTTACCTTTGTTGCGGTTTTCGGGGGCTCCACCTTTTTTACCTGTTCAAAGAGAGAAAGGGGGGAGGGCTGAGCACAAGGAGCCACATTCCCCCTGCAGCTGGGATGCTCCCACTCCTGTGGGCACCCTCTGGACACCACCACGCCTTGGTCCACACACAGCTCGAGGCTCCGGAGCTCCCAGGCTGCCCTGGGCAGCCCTGTCCCAAGGGTTCTGCTTCTCCCCACCTGTAAATCACCCCCAGACCCCAGCAGTGCCCCCAGGACGCTGGAGGTGCCTCAGGTTTTCAGGAGGAGAAGGCACAGAGCAGATTTTCAGGAGAAGAAAGCCTCCGGCAGCTCCAGGTCCCTCCCTCCTGCTGCCACCAGATCCGCATGGGAAGCACAGATTTGTCCCAGACCAGACCCAGAGCACGGAGGTGTGACCCCCAAAATCTGTCCAGGTGGCACATGGGGGTGCCCAGAGTTGCTGCACCTCAACCAGCTTCAGGTGACAAGGGCTTTATGTCACCCCACAGCTCCAGTGGGGACAAACTGGTGACACCCCCTGACCTGCTCTGCTCCCAGATCCATTGAGCTGGAAGGCTGGGAAAGCTCCAAGCATTGGGTGGCTCCCAGGGCAGTGCCATTCCCAGTGCCACTCCCAGTGCCATTCCAGTGCCACTCCCAGGGCATCGTGTCCTGCCAACTCCACAGTGGGAGCTCCATAGCTCCCAAATCCTGGAGCTGGGGAAAGCAGGATCCAGCTGCAGAGCTGAGGAAGGCAGGATCCAGTTCAGAACTGGGGAAGGCAGGATCCACACCCAAAGCTGGGAGCTGAGGAAGGCAGGATCCAGCTCCAGAGCTGGGGAAGGCAGGATCCAGTTCAGAGCTGGGGAAGGCAGGATCCACTCAGAGTTGGGGAAGGCAGGATCCAGCTGCAGATCTGAGGCTCCAGCTCAGAGCTGGGAGCTGGCAGCCAGCACAGCCTCTCCCACCTGGCACTGCCTCCCGGGAAGGGCTCCCTGGCGCGGGGATGCCGGAGCAGCTGGCAGTGCCAGCCTGGTGCTGCTGCCAGCGCCTGATCCCAGCGAGGCCAAACCTGCTGAGCAGGGCATCAGGGACACAGGGAGCTTCCCCAGCTGGGAATAAGCAGCTGGATGTAAAAGCTGGGGTGGGAGAGAGCTCCAGTCCCAGCACAACGGGAACACCTCGGCCTGGCTGCTGTTCCGACCCCTCCTCTGCCTCCTGCCATCCCCTCCTTTCCCCCAGGGAGCTCGGGGAATGCTCAGGAGATCCTCAGCCAAGTCCTGCAGGGTTTGGATGGGCTAAAACCGCTCTGTGGGCACCCAGGACTCACCTTGCACCTCCATGGGGTGGGCAAGGAGCACTGCAGGGGAGGTGCCACCAGCCCCCCTTCTTGGGGGATCCTTGATCCCCCCAACCCCACAGCTCCAGGATGGAAAGGAGGGTGATGGAGAAGGTCTGGGAGCATGGGGGAACCAGGTGGAGGGGACAGGGAGGGACCCCCAACCTCTCCCTGTTCCTGCCTGGGCCAGGGGAGCTGACCCCGATGTGTGAGGAGCCTGTGGATGCTTCCCAGGAAAGGGACAAAGGAGGGAAAAGGCAAATTCAGGGCATTTTCTTACCTTTCTTCACCTTCTTCTCCTCGTCCCCCTCTCCTCCTGCTCCCAGGAGGGTGAAGATGATCCCAGTCTGGGAGTTGATGCCCACGGCAGTCACCACCATCCTGCCCGAGCCCTCCATCACGTGGGTACCTGGCAGGGCAGCAATGCCATGGGCACACAGGTGACACTCCCAGCTCCCATCCCACAGAATCCCACACTGGTTTGGCTCAGAAGGGACCTTCAGCTCATCCTGTTCCACCCTGTATTGCTCCAAGCCCCGTCCAGCCTGGCCTTGGACACCTCCCTGAGAGCAGAGCCCACCCTGACCCCATCCCAGCCCTGCACCCATCCCTGAGCCCTCACCTGACAGCAGCATGGGGTCTTTATCCATGGATTTCTTCACCTGGTCTGACTCCCCAGTCAGCGAGCTCTCGTCTATCTTCAGGTCATTGCCCTGGATCAGGATCCCGTCCGCTGGCAGGAGATCGCCTGGAGAGGAGGAAAAGCAGGGATCAGCCCAGCCTGGCTCAGCCCTGCCTGCCCCATGCCAGGAATGCTCCAAAAGGATCCAAACTCAGGCTCAGAGCAGCTCTGGAGGGAGGAGAAGCAGCAGGTGGGGTTTGTGAGGGACAGGTGTAATCAAATTAAATCCAAGAGCTCCCAAATCCTCGCTGGAGACTCCTGGGGAGGATTTTGCTCGGTGTTTCCCCATCTGGTTTTAATGAATCCTTCCCTGAGCTCCTGATGCATCCAAAATCCACCACATCCACCTGCCAAGTATGGAATTGGGCCCTTGGGAAAACAAACACGGTGTTGGATCAATCTCCTTCCTGAATGGGAGGAATATTCCCCCTGGGAAACGAGGAGCAGGGCCTGATTGATCCCAGGGGCTGCAGCTCCTGCATGAGGAAACATCCACCAGCACCTCCAGGCCAAGGAAATAACCCCCAACAACTGCTGGGTAAGGAAATAATCCCCAGCATCTCCTGGATGAGGAAATGTTCCCCAAAACCTCCTGGGTGAGGAAATGCTCCCCAACAATTCCTGGATAAGGACATATTCCCCAGCATTTCCTGGATAAAAGAATATTCCCCAGCATCTCCTGAATATGAAAATATCCAGCAACATCTCCTGGATGAGGAAATGTTCCTCAAAACCTCCTGGAAAAGGAAACACTCTCCAACATCTCCTTCCCAAGGAAATATTCCTCAACATCTCCTGGATAAGGAAATATCCTCAACAGGGACAAGGTTGGGAAAATAAACTAACACAAACAAATAAAATAAATTAATTATGATGCAGCAGCTCCTTAAAGCTCCAGGGCAAAGAGAGAAGGTGAGTGGAACTCATGGAGCTCCACTGGTTACTGGAGCTGGTTACTCCATGAAAATGCTGCCATGGAGCTCCATCACCTCCATGGCACCATTTCCATGGAGCAACCAGAGGAGCTGCTGCTTGTGCTCAAGGAAGAAGGGCTGGAGAAGGAGGGAGGAGGTGTTTTGTGGAGATAGTTAAAACTCCACAACTTTTGTGAGAGTTGTAAAGCTGGGATTGTTTATTACAGTGCTGGACACATGTGGGAATCATTCTCCTAAAATGACATGGGTACCTCTGGGAACTCCAGGTCCCTTTTTATCCCTCTCTCAATACATATGCAAAAAATACAAATAAATATGCATAAAATTTCACAATAGGTTCATACACCTTCACTTTTACGAATTTCACGTGACATTTGCTGCTAGTTCATCTTTATCAGAAAGAATTCTTACGTCAGGCTGACCTGCTCTCACAGCAGTCTCTCTGTCTCTATCACTTTCTGTCTCCTCCCCTTCATCCCTGTCTTTCACTGAAGCAGTTTCTTGTCACCCTGGTTTTTTAAGATTTTCTAAGCTTTCTGATGTTGACATTCTTGTAGTGAGCTTTCTCACACGCTTTCTGTAAATAACTCATTGTTTTGCATTCCTTTATGGAGGAGGAGAACGTTGATGGACTCTTGGTTTGAGCAGTGTCATTGGAGAGGTGGCACTGTCACCCTTCCAATCCGCTGTCACTTTTAGAAAACTATAAATCTTAGAGTCAGAAAATAAACTTCATTTTTTCCTTTTCACCTTGAGAACCGTGGTGTGAGCTTGTGTTTTTTTGTGTCCTATGGTTTCCCTGAGCCCAGGCTTTTGCAATCAGGCTGTTTCCTAACTACAAACAACTCAAAAATGTAAATTTCACCTAAATCAAAACGGATTTCCACTCTGGAAAGTTTCTACTCTGCTTCAGAGGCTCCAAAGGGGAGCACAGCCCCACTCACCGTACTTGATCTGGGCGATGTCGCCCACCACAATGGACTGTTGGTTTGTCCAGTGTCATTGGAGAGGTGGCACTGTCACCCTCCAATCCACTGTCACTTTTAGAAAACTATAAATGTTAGAATCAGAAAATAAACTTCCTTTTTTCTTCTTCACCTTGAGAACAGCTTGTGTTCTTTTGTGTCCTATAGTGATAGTTTCTCCAAGCCTAGACTTTTGCAATCAGGCTGTTTCCTAACTACAGACAACTCAAAAACGTAAATTTCACCTAAATCAAAACGGATTTCCACTCTGGAAAGTTTCTACTCTGCTTCAGAGTCTCCAAGGGGGGAGCCCAGCCCCACTCACCGTACTTGATCTGGGCGATGTCTCCCACCACGATCTCGGCCACGGGGATCTGGATCACCTGGCCCTTGCGGATCACCGTGAACTTCTGCTCCTGCTCGATGCGGCTCTGGAGGCCCCGGAACTGCTTCTCCTTGCTCCAGTCGTTGAAGGCCGTCACCAGCACCACGATGATGACCGAGAACAGGATGGCAGCGCCCTCGATCCAGCCCGCCTGCGACTCGCCCTCGTCCTCCACGCCGCCCGTGGACTGCCCGCACACTGCCCGGAGAGAAACCAGGGATAACCAAAAACACTGCCTGGAGCAGGGAATTCCTGCTTGGATAACCCCAAACACTGCCTGGAGCAGGGAATTCCTGCTTGGGTAACCAAAAACACTGCCTGGAGCAGGGAATTCCTGCTTGGATAACCCCAAACACTGCCTGGAGCAGGGAATTCCTGCTTGGATAACCCCACATAAGAGAATTCCCATTGGGATAACCCCACACAAGGGAATTCCCATTGGATAATCCCACACACGGCCTGGAGAAAACTTCCCATTGGATAATCGGTCCTCCCCCAAGGACCCCAAAGATGGGGAGATGCCATCACCCAATGCCCCCATCCCAAACCCCTGCTCCTACAAGGAGCAGGGCAGATCCCAGAGTCCCCTCACCAGGAATGGGGCAGATCCCAGGATATCCCCACAGGGAATGGGGCAGATCCCACAGTCCCCATCCCAATCCTCTGCTCCCACACGGAATGGGGCAGATCCCAGTGTTCCCACAGGGAACGGCGGCAGATCCCAGAGTCTCTATCCCAAACCCCTGTTCCTACAGGAAATAGGGCAGATCCCAGAGTGCTCCCACAGGGAAGGGGCAGATCCCAGCATATCCCCACAGGGAATAGAGCAGATTCCAGGATATCCCCACAGAGAAAGGGGCAGATCCCAGAGTGCTCCCACAAGGAACGGGGGCAGACCCCAGAGTCTCCATCTCAAACCCCTGTTCCCAAAGGAAAGGGGGCAGATCCCAGGATACCCCCACAAGGAACGGGGCAAATCCCAGAATATGCCCACAGGGAATAGAGCAGATTCCAGGATATCCCCACAGGGAACCAGGCAGATCCCACAGTCCCCATCCCAAACCCCTGTTCCCAAAGGAAAGGGGGCAGATCCCAGGATACCCCCACAAGGAACGGGGCAAATCCCAGAATATGCCCACAGGGAATAGAGCAGATTCCAGGATATCCCCACAGGGAACCAGGCAGATCCCACAGTCCCCATCCCAAACCCCTGTTCCCACAAGGAAAGGGGGCAGATCCCAGGATACTCCCACAGAGAAAGGGGCAGATCCCAGGATACCCCCACAGGGAAAGGGGCAGATCCCAGGATATCCCCACAGGGAATGGGGCAGATTCCAGGATACCCCCACAGGGAATGGGGCAGATCCCAGGATACCCCCACAGGGAAAGGGGCAGATCCCAGGATATCCCCACAGGGAAAGGGGCAGATCCCAGGATACCCCCCCATGGAAGGGGACAGACCCCGGTGTCCCCAGCGCCGGGACTCACGCTCGTTGTCCCCTCCCGGGGGGTGGTAGAAGGACAGCCCCAGCGAGACGATGGCTGCGATCTCCAGGATGATCAGCGTCACGTCCTGCAGCGCCTCCCACACCAGCTGCAGGAACGTCTTGGCCTTCTTGGGGGGGATGAAGTTCTGCCCGAAGGCCTGGCGCCGCTTCTCCAGGTCCGCGGGGTTCCCAGACAGGCCTGGAGGGGTGGGGAGAACAGGGGTGAGGGCAAATCCCACTGCTGGCCCTGGGCAATTCACCCAGGAGCAGCTCCCTGCTCAGCCCAGAGAATGTGAGCTACTGGCAGAGGGGAGACAAGGTGTAAATAAAAAAAAAAAAAAAAAAAAACCAAAAAAAAAAAAAAAACAACCCAAAAAAACCCAAATAATTAAAATAAAAAGAAAATAAAAATTAATCAAGTATAAACAAAGAAACAAAATAAAAATTAAAATATAAACAAAGTATAAACAAATTAATAAAATAAAAGTAAAAATAGGTAAAATATAAACAAAGAAATAAAATAAAATTTAAAATACGCTATAAAATAAAGTATAAACAAATCAAATTAAAATTAGGAAAAAATAGAAATGAATAAATTATAAACAAATAGATAAAACAGAATTGAAAATAAACTATAAAATAAAGTATTAACAAATAATTAAAATTAAAAAGAAAATAAAAATTAATAAAGCATAAACAAATAAAATAAAATTAAAAATAAGCTATAAAATAAAGTATAAGCAAAAAATAAAATAAAAATAATAAAGTATAAACAAATAAATTAAGTAAAATAAACTTTAAAATAAACTATAAATAAATAAAGTATAAACAAATAAATAAAATAAAAATAAAAATAAAGTATAAACGAATTAAAAAAATTTAAAACTATAAATAAAGTATAAACAAATCAATAAAATTAAATTAAAATAAAGTATAAATAAAGTATAAACAAATCAATAAAATAAACCTATAAATAGAGACAAATAAATAATAGAAATTACATAAAGTATAAACAACTACAATATAAATAAATAATATATAAATTATAAAACATAAATAAAGTATAAATAACTAAATTATAAATGAATAAAGTATAAACAAAGGAATTAATTAAATGAATAATGCAATAAAGATAATATATAAATATATAATATATAAATGAATATAATATATAAACAAATCAAAAAATAAATAAATTAATTCAATAAACATTAAAATATTAAATAGAAATATATAAAGTATAAACAAATAAACCAAGATATAAATAAATAAAATATGAATAATTAATAACCAAAATATAAACAAACAAATAAATAATGTATCAGCCTGCAGCCTGGAGAACGTCACTGTCACATTTGGGCAGGGGACACCAGGCTGCAGCAGCGCTGTGCCACTGTCACCCTGTCAGGGGACACCAGGCTGCAGCAGCGCTGTGCCACTGTCACCCTCAGTCAGGGGACACCAGGCTGCAGCAGCGCTGTGCCACTGTCACCCTGTCAGGGGACACCAGGCTGCAGCAGTGCTGTGCCACTGTCACCCTCGGGCAGGGGACACCAGGCTGCAGCAGCGCTGTGCCACTGTCACATCTGGGCAGGGGACACCAGGCTGCAGCAGCGCTGTGCCACTGTCACCCTGTCAGGGGACACCAGGCTGCAGCAGCGCTGTGCCGCTGTCACCCTGTCAGGGGACACCAGGCTGCAGCAGTGCTGTGCCACTGTCACCCTGTCAGGGGACACCAGGCTGCAGCAGCGCTGTGCCACTGTCACCCTGTCAGGGGACACCAGGCTGCAGCAGTGCTGTGCCGCTGTCACCCTCAGGCAGGGGACACCAGGCTGCAGCAGCGCTGTGCCACTGTCACCCTCAGTCAGGGGACACCAGGCTGCAGCAGCGCTGTGCCACTGTCACCCTCGGGCAGGGGACACCAGGCTGCACCCTGGCGAGTGCCCAGGTGCTGCCAGCTGGCACCAAGACTGGTGGCCTTGTTTACATCAAATGAGCCGTAAATCTGGGCAATTTTGGGCAATTCTGGGCAAATCTGGGCAATTCTGGGCAATCTGGGCAATTGTGGCCCTGGCAGTGCCCGTGGCACCTGAGCCCTGTCCCTGCCAGCCCCTGGAGCTGCGGGAGCCTCTCCCAGCCCTGGGGACACTGGGTCCAAACTGGGATCTGGGCTGGTGCTGCTGGGACAGGGACACGGAGGGAGCAGGAGACGGAGCTGGGAGTGAGGATGGGGAAATGGGGAAAAATGGGAATAAAAGGGAGCCTGAGGCCCTTCAGAGCCTGCCAGCAGCCACGGGTGACAGTGGCAATGTGGCCACCTCCAATAAAGCCACAAATGTTGAGGGGGTTCCTGGAGGGAGCAGGGATGGTGACACTGGCAAGGTGACACAGTCAGCCCCAACAAAGCCAGAAATGCTGATGGGGTTGGATGGAGTGACGGTGACAGTGGCAAAGTGACAGGGCCACCCCAAACAAAGCCACGAATGTTGAGGGAGTTCCAACACATGAGCCAGAGATGGGTGACAATGGTGACATGGCCATCCCTAATAAAGCCATAAGTGTTGAGGGGATACCAGGAGGGAGCAGTGATGGTGACACTGGCAAGGTGACACAGTCAGCCCCAACAAAGCCAGAAATGCTGATGGGGTTTCAGGATGGAGGGATGGGTGACAATGGTAAAGTGACAGGGCCACCCCAAACAAAGCCATGAATGGTGACAAGGTCCCAGGAGGGAGCAGTGGGTGACAGTGGCAATGTGACACAGTCACCCCCAAAATGCCATAAGTGCTGAAGGGGTACCAGGACACAAGGCATTGATGGTGACAGTGGCAAAGTGACACTGCCACCCCTAATAAAGCCATAAATGTTCATGGGGTCCCACCAGGCAGCAAGGTGACAGTGGCAAAGTGACACAGCCACATAAAGCCATAAGTGCTGAGGAGGTACCAGGACACAAGGCAGTGGCAAAGTGACACTGCCACTCCTAATAATGCCATAAATGCTGCAGGGGTGCCAGGCCATGAGGCAGCGATGGTGACAGTGGCAGTGTGACACAGCTGTGTCCCCAGCACCACCTTAAGGGACTCCCCCATCCCGTCCTTCTCCACCTTAAGATGTCCCCGGGTCACTGCCAGGTCCCGGGATGCTCCAGGAATGGCCCCGGGCACATCCTGGTGGTGCCTGGCAGTGACAGGGGACCCGTCCTGCACTCAGGGGACAGCTCCGAGTCATTCCCGGGGACACCTCTGTGCCAGCCCCATGTCACTCTGGGAGGACACCTCCCTGCCCACTCAGTGTCACTCTGGGGGGACACCTCCCCGCTGGCTCCATGTCATTCCAGGGGATGCCCTTCCCAACAGCCCCGCGTCACTTTAGGGACACTGTGTCACTTTGGGGACACCTCCCTGCCTGCTCCATGTCACTGTGGGGACACCTCTGCGCCTACCTTGTGTCATTCCAGGGGATGCCCTTCCCAACAACCCCATGTCACTCTGGGGACACCTCTGTGCCAGCCCCATGCCACTCTGGGGACATCTCCCTGCCAGCCCCGTGTCACTCTTGCAGGACACCTCCCTGCCAGCCCCAAGTCACCCTGGGGACACCTCTGTGCCAGCCCCGTGTCACTCCGTGGGACACCTCTGTGCCCACCCTGTGTCACTGTGGGACACCTCTGTGCCCACCCATGTCGCTCTGTGTCACACCTCCCTGCCCACCCTTTGTTACTTTGGGGACACTCCCTGCCAGTCCTGTGTCACTCTGGGGACACCTCCCTGCCCACCCTGTGTCACTCTAGTGACACCCCCGTGCCAGCCCCGTGTCCCCACGTGTCCCTGCAGCAGGAGGAAGCAGCAGGATCGATCCCGCCCCGCTCCAGCGCAGCTGCAGGGAGGGAGGGGACAGCAGGGAGGGAGGGGACAGCTGGCAGCTGGCACAGCAGCCTCGCTGTCCCCACCCAGCCATGAGGAGGAGGCTGAGCAGGATCCTGGGATGTCCCGGCCCGGATTCCCCAGCAGAGGGTGGAAAATGTGGCTCATGGCCACGGAGCCGCGGGGACACACGTGGGGACACACGTGGGGACACATGGGGACACGGGACAGCCCCACAGCACAGGGCAGCCAGGGGTCCCAAAGCGGATCCCACCCATGGGAACGATCCCTCCCTGGGAAATTGGGGGGGTTTGGCGGCTCTGTGCTGGCACAGGGAGGGTGACAAAGAGCCTGTGCCACCCAAATGCCACTGCAGGTGACAAAGGTGACAAAGAGCAGCAGTCCTGGGCAGGTGCCACCCATGGGGCCACAGCAGGCTCTGGGGTCAGGATTAGCAGGGAAATGGGGCAGAAATTCTGGATGGAGGCCACATGTGACAGCAGGGAGCTGTCACCAGTGCCACATCTGCCTGGGGACAGCGGCACCAGGAGCCTCCCTGCAGGAACGGGGCTGGGGAGTGGCAGCCCTGGGTGAGTCAGGGTGGCTGTGCTGGCACCCAGGGGACACGGGTGACTCAGTGCAGCCACACCCCAAAGCCACTCTGGGAGCTGCCCCGAGGGTCTGGGGTCTGCTGGCACCTCCTGGGGCACAGCTGGAGCTGCCACAACCAGCACACCCCAAAGTGACACCGGGGCTGGGGACCCCAAGGGCCACCCAAGGGGGGCTCTGGGGGACAGTGTTTGCCCACGAGGACAGTGCCAGGCTGGAGAGGGGACAGCCAGGACAGTGCCAGGCAGGAGAGGGGACAGCCAGCACAGTGCCAGGCTGGAGAGACAACAGCCAGCACAGTGCCAGGTTGGAGAGGGGACAGCCAGGACAGTGCCAGGCTGGAGAGGGGACAGCCAGGACAGTGCCAGGCAGGAGAGGGGACAGCCAGGCCTGCAGCACAGGGTGGCACCGAGGGTCCCCATGGGTCCAGGTGGCATCAGAGCACTCCAGGGCACGGATCCTACAGCAGGACAGGGGTGCTGGCAGGACACCCCGGGCTGGTGACACACAGGAGGACAAGGCCCTGTGCCACCCCAGAGGGGTGATCAGCAATGAGAATGGGCATGGGGACAAACAGTGGGGTCAGACAGAAGTGTCACAGGTCCCTTTGGGATTCTCCTCTCCCCAAAAATCCCCGAGGATCTGGAGCAGGGACCCTTTGTGTGCTCTCTGGGATTTGGGGCAGCTCAGCTCTACGGGAGGGACACCCCAGGGGCATCGGGGTGGGGCTGAACCCTTCACCTCCCCTACAAGAACCTTCTGGGTTCCCCTCCCGCCTCTCCTCCCACCCCACAGCAGCGTGATCCCACTTTGGCAGGGCTGAGCACATTGTTTGTGACCTGGGCTTTGTGTTTCCACCGGGACTTCCCCCCTTCTCTAACGACATCCCGATATTGTCTGTCCTTCCCGGTCCCGCTCGCAGCTGGAAAGCTGCAAATCCCCCCCTGCAGCACTAAAAATATCCCACAGATTGTCACTGCTGAGTCCCCATCCCACAGTTTTAGGGCTGAGTCCCATCCCAAAGCTCCAGGGCCAAGTCCCCATCCCACAGTTTTAGGGCTCAGTCTTCATCCCACAGTTTTAGGGCTGTGTCCCAACCCCACAGTTTTAGGGCTCAGTTCCCATCCCAGTTTTAGGGCTCAGTTCCCATCCCAGTTTTAGGGCTGAGTCCCCATCCCAGTTTTAGGGCTCAGTTCCCATCCCAGTTTTAGGGCTGAGTCCCCATCCCAGTTTTAGGGCTCAGTTCCCATCCCAGTTTTAGGACTGTGTCCCCGTCCTACAGCTCCAGAGCTGAGTCCCATCCCACAGTTTTAGGGCTCAGTCTCCATCCCACAGATTGTCACAGCCAAGTCTCCATTCCACAGTTTTAGGGCCGAGTTCCCATCCCACAGCCCCAGGGGCTGAGTCCCCATTCCACCGTTTTAGGGCTGTATCCCCACCCCACAGTTTTAGGGCTGTCCCCATCCCACAGTTTTAGGGCTCAGTTCCCATCCCACAGTTTTAGGGCTGTCTTCATCCCACAGTTTTAGGACTGTGTCCCCATCCCACAGATTGTCACAGCCAAGTCCCCATCCTACAGTTTTAGAGCATCCCACAGCTCCAGGGATCATTTCCCATCCCAGTTTAAGGGCTGTGTTCCCATCCCAGTTTTAGGGCTGCCCCCATCCCACAGTTTTAGGGCTCAGTCCTCATCCCACAGTTTTAGGGCTGTGTCCTCATCCCACAGTTTTAGGGCTCTGTCCCCATCCCAGTTTTAGGGCTGTCCCCATCCCACAGCCCCAGAAATCCCCTCTGAGCTGGAATCTGGGGCTCTCTGTCCCCTGCACCCCCTCAATGCCAGGGAAGGCTCCACTGCTGTGCCCCCAGTGCCACCAGTGCCCCCAGTGCCACCAGCCTGGCTGATGAGGGGACCCCAAAAGCCAGCCCAGCCCGTGAGGGCAGAGGTGACACCCTGAGACCCTCCCAGAGGTGACCCCAGGTGTCACTGCCACCACTCAGCTGCAGTGCCCAGGTTTGCCTTGGAGCATCCCCAGTCCAGGAGGGACCTGGGCCCTTTGGGGACACACTGCTCCTGTCCCTGACCCGAAGTGTCACCAACAGCTGCAGGTGGCACCTGGCCACCTCGCCAGCGCCCTCCAACCTTTACACCTCCCCTCCCACTCCATCAATGATTAAACAGGGAATGGCTGGAGCAGCACCTGGGCTGTGGGGAGGAGCTGCTCACCCCAACCCACATCCCTGACAGCCCCTGAGGTGACAACCCCAGAGGTGACAACCCCAGACCATGGGATGGCCACTGGAGCCACCACCCTTGGATGTGACCTTCGTGTGGCTCCATCCCAGATCATGGGACAGTCACTGGAGCCACCACCCTCAGGTGTCACCTTCACATGGCTCCACCCCAGAGGTGACAACCCCAGAGGTGACAACCCCAGACCATGGGACAGCCACTGGAGACACCATCTTTAACTGTCACCTTCATGTGGTTCCATCCCAAAAGTGACAACCCCAGACCATGTGACAGCCACTAGAGCCACCACCCTCCAGCATCACTTTCACATGGCTCCATTCCACAGGTGACAACCCCAGAGGTGACAGCCCTAGACTTTGGGAGCCACCACCCTCAGGTGTCACTTTCACATAGCTCCATCCTGAGGGTGACAACCACAGAGGTGACAACCCCAGACCATAGGAGCCACCACCATCAGATGTCACCTTCACATGGCCCCATCCTGGAGGTGACAACCCCAGAGGTGACAACCCCAGACCATAGGAGCCATCACCCTTGGACATCACATGCATGTGGCTCCAATCTGGAGGTGACAACTCCGGAGGTGACAACCTCAGGCCACGGGAGACACCACTCTTGGAGGCCACCTTCACATGGCTCCAATCCACAGGTGACAACCCCAAACCTTGGGAGCCACCACCATTCGGTGTCACCTTCACACAGCTCCATCCTGGAGGTGACAACCACAGAGGTGACAACCCCAAACCTTGGGAGCCACCACACTTGGACATCACATGCATGTGGCTCCATCCTGGAGGTGACAACCCCAGAGGTGACAACCCTAGACCTTGGGAGCCACCACTATCAGATGTCACCTTCACATGGCTCCATCCTGGAACTGACAACGCCAGAGGTGACAACCCCAGACCAAGGAAGACACCACCATCAGGTGCCACCTTCACATAGCTCCATTCCATAGGTGACAACCCCAAACCTTGGGAGCCACCACCCTTGGACATCACATCCATGTGGCTCCATCCTGGAGGTGACAACCCCAGACTACGAGAGCTACCACCCTCAGGTGTCACCTTCACGTGGCTCCATCCTGGAGGTGACAACACCAGAGGTGACAACCCCAGACCATGGCACAGCCGCTCACCTTCGACCGGCGACGTCTTCAACCTCTTGCAGACGTTCTGGACGCCTCCATAGGAGTCGTTGATCCGGGCCACGGCCTCGGCGCTCCTCAGCTCCATGAGGTTCCTGAGCTCCACCAAGGAGCACCCAAAGTCCCCCTCATGGCTGCCCTCGGCCACCGAGTTCCCGGGGTGGTGGTCGGCCACGTTGTTCGTCATCTTGTCGCGGTGCCGGTGGCCCCGGCGCGGCGCTCCCGGCGCGGCCTCGCTCGCGGCTCCGGCGGCTCCGGCGGCTCCGGGGGGGGATGCTCCGTGTGGCCCCTTCCCTGGGGGCTTCCCTGGGGGCTTCCCTGGGGGCTTCCCGGGGGGGAACGGGCGGCTCTAGCCGAGCCCAACTTGTCGGGATGAAGGTGTAAACAGGATGTGCATGTTACCGCGGAGGCGACCTTAGCAACGCCCGGCGTGCAGCTCCTGCAGCGGGAGGAGGAGGAGGAGGAGGAGGAGGAGGAGGAGGGCTCCCTGGATACCACAGCAACTGGAGCTGCGAAAACAACCGTGGGAAACAAAAATATCGGCGTCAGGAGGGCTTGGGAAGGAGCGAGGCGCCCCATGGGGTGGGAGAGGGGAGCGGTGATGCCCCAGGGAGGGGATTTTTGAGGGAGAATTCGGTGTCAGCGTGGTTGGGGCAGGAATTCCTGGGTAAGAAGTTGAGCTCGGAGTGTGGAGAGGGGAAAAGCCGCAGCTGCGGGGCCGGGCAGGAAAGGAGCGCAGGTGGTTCTTCACTTTCAGCCCAGACAAACCCTCCCGTTGATTTTGGGTTAAAAATACCCCTCAGCAGTGGGAAACAGCTGCTTCCTCCCCTGGGCAGGACGTGGGGGCCCCAGCATCGCTCTCCACCCTGCTGGCAGGTAGGGAGCAATCCCAATATCCCAATATCCTGATATCCCAGTATTCAAATATCCCAATATCCCAATATCCTAATATCCCAATATTCAAATATCCCAATATCCCAATATCCTGATACCCCAATATCCCAATACCCCAATATCCCAATATCCTGATATCCCAATATCCTGATACCCCAATATCCCAATACCCCAATATCCTGATATCCCAATATCCAAATATCCCAATGTCCCAATATCCAAATATCCCAAAATCCCAATATCCTGATATCCCAATATCCTAATAGCCCAATATCCCAATATCCAACTACCCCAATGTCCCAATATCCTGATATCCCAATATCCCAATACTCCAATACCCTGATATCTCAAAATCACAATGTCCAAGTATCCTAATATCCAAGTATCTCAAAATCCCAATATCCTAAATTCCCAAAATCCTGATATCCTGATATCCAAATATTTCAATATCCCAAAGCCCCAATATCCCAAAGTCTCAATATCCCAATGTCCCAAATTCCCCAAATCCCAATATCCAAATATCCCAAAATCCCAATATCTCAAATTACCAATATCCCAAACTCCCAAAATCCTGATATCCCGATATTCCAATATCCAAGTATCCCAATATCCCAAAATCCTAATATCCCAATGTCCCAATATCCCAAATTCCCAATATCCCAATACCCCAACAGAGAAAGGGGCTGCAGCCCCCCGTGGGCTCTACATCAGCTGGGAGATGCCACAGGAACCACGAAATACAAAAGGGAAGTGAAGAGAAACCACCAAAACCTGAGAGTTTCTCAGAAATTGAGGCTTTTCCGTTAATGACCTGTTCTGAGGTGGCTCCCCGAGGGCAGCAAGTGGCTCTCAGTGTCCCCAAGAGCTGCCACCCAGGTCACAACCCCCCAGCGAGGACAGAGGAGCCCTAAAAACACTTCAATGAGGCCAAGCAGGGACCATGAGCATCCCACAGCTCCCCCATTCCTCAGGGATTTGGGGGCTGGGATTCCCTGCTGGCATCTCAGAGTTCTAGGGACAAACAGGGACATGAAGGGAACAGCACAGGCCAGAGGGAGAAAGGGCTTTTTGTCAGCCAGGGTTAGCTGTGTTCCCAAGCTCCAGGGAAGCTCCCGGCGCTCCAGAGGCAAAAAGGCTGCGAGGGGAGGCTCTCATGGAGAGAAAATAAAATCTTCCTGAGGGCAAAATAAATAAAGAGCAACAAGGGAACGGCCACTCCGGCAGCATCCGCCCCAGCCGGGGCCCAGGGGTGGCAGAGCCGGCTGGGGAGGGACAGGAGGGAGGAGGGAGAACGTCCACAGCTGATCCCAGAACACAGGGGGTGCACCAGCCCTCAGAAACCCCACAGAAAGGCACCAAATCAGCACAGGGATGGCATCAACAGCCCCAATTTCAGCCCTAGAGCTGTCCCAAACTGCCCCATCCCAAACTGCGCCGATTCCAGCCCCAGAGTTGTCCCAAACTGCCCCAATTCCTGCCTCAGAGATGCCCCAAAGAGCCTCATCACAAACAGCCCCAATTCCAGCCCTAGGGTAGTCTCAAACTGCCCCAGTTCCTCCCTCAGGGCAGTCCCAAACTGCCCCAGTTCCTCCCTCAGGGCAGTCCCAAACTGCCCCAATTTCAGCCCCAAAGTTGTCCCAAACTGCCCTGTCCCAAACTGCCCCAATTCCAACCTCAGAGCAGTCCCAAACTGCCCCAATTTCAGCCCCAGAGTTGTCCCAAACTGGCCCATCCCAAACTGCCCCAATTCCAGCCCCAGAGATGTCCCAAACTGCCCCATCTCAAACTGCCCCAATTTCAGCCCCAGAGTTGTCCCAAACTGCCCCAATCCCTGCCCCAGGGCTGTCCCAAACTGCCCCAATTTCAGCCCCAGAGTTGTCCCAAACTGCCCCAATTCCAGCCCCAGGACAGTCCCAAACTGCCCCAATTCCTTCCCCAGAGTTGTCCCAAACTGTCCTGTCCCAAACCACCCCGATTCCAGCCCCAGCCCCAGGGACAGCACAACCCCAAAGAACCAACCCCCCCTGCCTGGCCCTCCTTATCCCGGCAGCAGCACCCCCAGGGCAGCTCCCGGCACTATCAGGGCACCACAGGCACCAACTGCACCTCGGGGACAGCAGTGACACCGCCAGAATGTCCCCACCTCGGGAGGGACCTGCGCCCCAGCTGCGGGGAGGGGGGGAGAGGGGCAGGATGGGGGGAACACCGGGGTGGGGACACAGGGATGGAAGGACACAGGGATGGGACACAGGAAAGGGACACAGGAATGGGACAGGAATGAAAGGACACAGGGATGGAAGTACACAGAGATGGGACACAGGGATGAAAGGACACAGATGGGACACAAGGATGGGACACAGGGATGGGACACACAGGGGTGGAAGGACACAGAGATGGGACACAGAGATGGAAGGACACAGGGATGGGACACAAGGATGGGACACAGGGATGGAACACACAGGGATGGAAGGACACAGGGATGGGACACAAGGATAGGACACAGGAATAGGGACACAGGGATGAAAGAACACAGAGATGGGACACAGAGATGGAAGGACACAGGGATGGGACACAGGAATGAAAGGACACAGATGGGACAGGGATGGAAGGACACAAGGATGGGGACACACGGATGGGACACAGGGATGGAAGGACACAGGGATGGGACACAAGGATGGCACACAGGGATGGGACACAGGAATAGGGACACAGAGATGGAAGGACACAAACATGGGACACATGAATGAAAGAACACAGAGATGGGACACAAGAATGGGACACACAGGGATAGGGGACACAGAGATGGAAGGACACACAGATGGGACATGAGGATGGGACACAGGAATAGGGACACAGGAATGAAAGGACACAAAGATGGGACACAGGGATTCCTTCCAGGACACAGGGATGGGGACACTGCAGCTCCTGGGACACCCAAGCTCCCACCCAGAGCGTTCCTGCTGCCCCATCCAGCAGGGATCCCTGCCCATCCCCAGCCCCGTTATCCCACGGCTCCTCCTGGCGCTGAGCTCATCCATCCCTGCAAGGCAGCAGCTCCCAGCAGCGGGAAGCAGGAGGTGGCAGGCCCAATTAAGCAGGCTCCTGCTGATTAAGAGAAAAAACGCTAATTCCCCCACCCCACCACGCTCATTTCCTCCTCTTTCATAGCAACCGGCGCTGTCTGAGGAGCGCTCAGAGGTTAAGAGGGAGACGGTTAATTAATACTGTAACTGCCTAGCCCTTAATTACCCCTGACAGAGCTCAGGGGGCAGCGATCAGCACCATCCCTGTGTCCCACTGTGAGATTCCAGCCTGGAATTTGCTCTGTCTTGGGGGAAAGGAGGGACCCAGCACCATCCCTGTGTCCCACTGTGAGATTCCAGCCTGGAATTTGTTCTCCTGGAGGAAAGGAGGGACCCAGCACCATCCCTGTGTCCCACTGTGAGATTCCAGCCTGGAATTTGCTCTGTCTTGGGGGAAAGGAGGGACCCAGCACCATCCCTGTGTCCCACTGTGAGATTCCAGCCTGGAATTTGTTCTCCTGGAGGAAAGGAGGGACCCAGCACCATCCCTGTGTCCCACTGTGAGATTCCAGCCTGGAATTTGCGGTCCTAGGGAAAAGGAGGGATCCAGCACCATCCCTGTGTCCCACCCTGCAATCCCAGCCTGGCACCGAGGTTTGGGATGGCTCCTGTCTGCTCTGAGCATCCTCCCCCAGCCCTTTTGGGATCACAGCCCCATTCCCAGGGGATCCACCCGGATCAGAGCCATCGCTCTGAGGAGCTCCCAGCGACCCCAGCACGTTCTGTCCTTCACTCTGGGAATCCATTCCCACAGCCCCCAGACCTTGGAGAGGAACAAACTCTCCCTGAGGGAAGAAAGTAAACAGCTCAGGTGCGAGAGGACAGGACCTGAGCTCCCTGAGCTACCCTGTCACCTCCCTGTGAAGGTGACACCAGCTGTGTCACCTCCTAAATGCCATCCCTGAGCAGGGGACCCACCTGGAGCCTGGTGGGGTGTGAGGGGAGGAAGGAGAGGGGTGTGAGGGGAGGAAGAAGAGGGGTGTGAGGGGATGAAGGAGAGGGGTGTGAGGGGAGGAAGAAGAGGGGTATGAGGGGAGGAAGGATTAGGAGAGGAGTGTGAGGGGAGGAAGAGTAGGAGCAGGGTATGAGGAGAGGAAGGAGAAGGAGAGGGGTGTGAGGGGAGGAGGAGAGGGGTGTGAGGGGAGGAAGGAATGGGGTGTGAGGGGAGGAAGGAGCTGGATATGAGGGGAGGAAGGAGCAGGAGTGTGAGGGGAGGAAGGAGCAGGAGCAGGAGTGTGAGGGGAGGAAGGAGCGAGCGGGCTCCAGGCAGGAGGAGCTGGCGAGGAGCGGCGGAGCCGGTGCTGCAGCTGAACCTGCCCGGAATAATAAACGGCAGCACGGCACCTCTGTCCTGCCAGGGGCACCTCTGTCCTGTCAGGGACAGTGCCCACAGCCAGGGCCACCACCCCAGCGTGGTCTGTGCCCACCCCAGCCCCAGCACCTGCTGGATTCAACCTCGGAGAAAAGCGACGAGGAAAAATTAATCAGCCGGAGATGCCACAAGTGACAACTCCAGCCACGGCGTGGGTGGC